CAATCGTTTGGGGCTAAAAATAGATTTTTTATATTTTCATATGAATATCAGTGAAGGTCTCCCCAATCCAATTCTCTGCGAAACAAAAATCATGTTTTAATGAGGAGTAATATTTTTCATTCCAATGACAATATTTTCAATACGAGAATCTATCCTCGCGTCCAAGGAATTGATAAAATATTCATGAGTGGAATAGAGGGAATAGCGAGGTGGATATTTTTGTTCCGCAAGTCGATATGATACGAAAACCCGGTTACCAATGACGATTGCGGGTATCTCCAGTCTCTCCCTCTTGGTGAGCGAGGTATACTGGAAAATTGAAAAGAAGTCTTCGTCTTTCCTGTTCTCCAATACTTTCTAAAAAAACTGGTCCGTTACAATTTTCGGAAATACTTCCTTGATTGTCATGTTCTCCTGATATTTTTTCAAAAATTTTGAATTTGAAAATTTCAGTGAATACCTCCTCGATTTTCATGTTCCTCTAATACTTTTTGTGTCACGTCTGACTGTACTTGACTCGAACTACTGGGAAAAATAGTGTACGTTCATTTATCGACTGTTACTTTTGGACTTGGACTGAGGATCCACTGGTGCAGAGAATCTAGACGAGAAACTTGGAATACTCGTTCGTAATTTCAAGTCCTTGTGGACAATTCGAAACACGTCCCTTGAGCCATCCTGATCACGTACAACGAATCTGCGTCGGCTTGTCTCCTCCACTTCTGCTCCACTGTCATCCCTCATCCCGACGTGATAAACAGCCTGTCTATATATCTCCCTGAATTTTTTATCTCCTTTATCATGGCGTTAAATGTGCAATGTACAACGTGTGATTTAAGTTCAAATTATCGGTGAAATCAAATTTTTATGGACGACCGAAAATCCCGGTTTGATTCATGAATTGTTCGACAGATGGATGAATATATATCTCCAGTAAATTTAATTACGGTAAATAAATTATCCTAGTTAATCAAGATGTAATTCTCGAAGGAAAAATCGGACGAATGGTTTTGAGAAAAATTTTGAAAGTCGAATTAGGAACCCGATCTGCGTTGCAGTATCAAATGGCTGAGCCATTCACATCATTCCAGAAATATATATGAACGGTTGCCTGCTGGGCTAAACACAAATTTTCCGAGTCTGCAAAATTATTCGGGCATGGCAGAAAGGAGTGGCAGAAGGGGTCGAGGCAAGCACCAAAATACTGGAATTTGGAATCACCTCTGAAAAAATTATTATCGCTTTAAATTTCTTATCCAATTGATATTGAATCGAGCAGCTAATGTTCACGAATCTGCACATCACCTTAGCATAATTCAGATAGTGACTTAAAAGATTCCATAACCCTGATAATGGACACTTCAACCACTTATCATTCGCCAGCATTCGTGAATCCCCTTTTTATCGCTCGCCATTTTACCCGGATTCAACCAGCCAAATACATACACTCGTTTAACCTTCAGCCTTTTCACCCCATTTTCATTTTGCTTGGGACCTGAGAGAATGTCACGACGATCCATGAACATACAAAACCGACGAATATTACGTACGCGAAAAAAAATGCGGGATAAAAAATAAATTCGCATTGATATGAAAGTGTCAGTGAATGAATTCTCAAGTTAGACAGGATTAATGCTCGGAAATTAATCAATTAATATCTCAAACGAAATTATTTAATTTCTTCTCACTTTTGGTTCGATTAGTTTTTCCTCGCATTTTTGTGTCGAACCAGAGACGTCGTGTCTGGAATTCCGACTGCGTCATACTTTTCTCAACCAGTGAGTTGGCATTCATTTATGCACTCGAGCAAGGAGAAGAAAAGAGGAGTCAAGAGAAATAACGGGGTAACAAGAATGAAAAAAATTTCATCACCTACGGGGGAATGCAATGTACCTACAACTCAGTGTTAAAATCTCACAGCTGTTATTATCACGATAAATATTATTTTACTTTCGAATAAATGTACGTGCCTGTGATGGTGGAGTGGCGAGGGTCATTTTATTCTGGCATTTGTTGAAGGTATTATTCTTCAATTTGTTTTTATCGTACGTTTACTGGACTTTCTCGAGTTACCAAGTGTCGTGAGAAAACTTTTGTTGTTAGTTGCGTGTGGATATGGTTTTACCGAATGGTCACGGATATCGAAACTTCTGGATTTGTTTTCGAAATCGAGTACTCGTGTCCGTGCCATGGTGGAGGAATATCTGAGAGAGATTTTGCGAGTTTGGTACAAGGTTATTGATGAGTTTAATAGAAATAGGTCACCGAAAATTTTCACTACGATTCAGTTCGATACACTCGACCTCTCAATTGTACTTGAACACTCCTCGATCCATAGGCGGATAAACCGCAATCATGGCGGACCTATGTGTTCATGTATCATGTGTATTTTCTGGTGGAGTGTGAATACTGGTGGAGATAATGCAGGGGTGAAATTTTCGATGGGAAATTTTTTTGGGAAATAATGGAGTTTACGGTTTCAGTGGACAACTGATTTACTTTTAATCATGCTAATTAATTTATTATAGGAATGAGAGTTTCTGAAAATAATCAAGAATAAAAATTTATTGCGCGATATTAATCTTCATGGCAATGTAAAATCACATCATTGAGAATTTTCACGTAACTTTCAATTGAATTCCAATACACTATGCAGCAATGTACATAATGGAAAACGAATCCATATATTATCGGTACTTTGCGTCATGCCTGAGTTACTTCAGGATGAGGACTGTCTGAGAAATATGACAACTTCATAATAGCTGAGTATTTCTTGTGTGGGAGTTGAAGTGCATAAGTTTTTCAAAGAATAAGGGAGAAGAGGTGACTAAAATGGAACAGAGATTTAAGCGTGCGTTAGACGGTTGAGAGATATGATCGATCGGTTAGATTCTCTGAAGAACCGGCACCCTCACATCTCCAAATGCTTTCGAGGGCTCCATATAGGAACCAGAGAGCTTATCCCGCGCGAATAACCGCACAACCTCAGCATCCGCCCATCATTTTCTCCCATTATCATCTTCTCCACCAATTTTCAGTGCCAATTCGTAATTGACAGGCCGACATGAACAGAACATGCTATAAATCTAGGGGTCATGCGGTGCTTTATACACTGAGAAAAAAATTTAGTAAGTTGGAGCTGATATAAGACTCTGACGAATTTTTTTATCGATAAAAAATCCGGGAGAAACGATCGACTTAAACCGATTGAATTTACTCATTTCGGTCTCTCTTGCCGTTCTGGATATTTCACAAATTTATGGCCGATTGGAATTCATTTTCTTCCGGTAATTGCGCTTCTCGAATCAAGCAAGATTTTATAGGGTGCAATTGAATATAAAACATGAATTATGAGGTCCAACGGAGGATATTTCACGGATCGTTTAAGTTGTGAAGGTATTGGAATTTTAATCTGCACATTGAGGAATGAAATTCATTCTTTTTTATCCTAGAAAAAGCGGAGAGTGACTGAAATTCCCGCTATCAGTCAAGAAAATTGCAATCAATTGAAAGATAAATGGAAACAATTGAATATTTAATGAGAAAATTTTTAGCCATCAGAGCCCTATTATCTTCCCGGAAATGTGTAAACTTTGGAAATAATCCCGGAACACTGGAAATGATTCCCTAGATGATTAAACTAGAATTTCCAGTAACAATTCCAGGCGAACGTTATTACCTCAATCAACAGTTACCGAGGTTCAAAATGTAGAAACTAAAATTACCGAAGATGGACCCTCAAGCCAGTCACTCTGAGGTTTCCACTCGCTAATGATCCTCCATCCATAGTTAGCGGTATAAATTTACCCTGAAATATATTTTTTCCGATACTCCTCTTTCCACAACACTGTACTAGTTTAAATCCCTCGCCACTCGAAGTAATGTTTCTGATATATACAGAGCTTCTCACGGGGAATAAAAAAATCTATATTCCCAGCAATAATAAATTCTCAAGTTGTCTACTCTTTTGGTGTACCCCAGACGGGTTAAAATTGAAGTCTCGTACTGAGAGTCGGTTGAAGATCAATATCATCCCTTCACTTGGGGGTTACTATCGCTATCTATCAAATCCCTTTGGCCATTTCTGTCCAATGGCACCCGATTCCCACTCCCCAGTGGGCACTGAAAGTGTCGATTAACGATTAAACCGGTTAATTGCCGCTCCGAGCTCACGCCATGGAATCGATTAGCCATTGATCTGTGATAATTAGCGAATTAGTCGACCCACGAGCACGAATATCTTATGAAATGCGTTATAATTCACGTATCAGTCATTTTCACTGTGTTACGTGTCACAGAACTTTACATGTTACACGTGGTGAACTCCATTGGGTCAGGTTGAATGATGAGGCAGGATAAATGATACTCACTGGAATTGGATACGATTGTGGCTGACCTGCGGCTCCAGTCTAGATTCCAGACGTAGCTGGAATTATCTCGGTACACAAAAGGCTACGGTATATAGCACCGTTATAAAAATTTTATCCTCATTCTTCTATTTGCTCGGTTGTAAAAAAAAAAGCCACCACAGATTTTTTTTCTCTCCGAAATAGACGGATATTTGGAATTTTTATAGTCGGTGAGGATTGGATTTTATTGCTGATTCAGGGGATATGAAAACGGCTGTAGTACTCATGGAAATGGTCCCCTCAAAGAGATTTATCCTTCGGGTTCTAATTTATATTGCAGATTTCATTTGGTTTTTTTTATAAAGATAAAGGTTCAAAGGGAATTTTTATTTTTAATATTCATTCTTCGATGAGGCTCGCTCAGATAGCCCGAAAAAAGTTTGAGTTGTGTTATTCTGTTAGGGAACCGAGTCTATAAACATTAGCGACTTTGAATCGAGGGAATATAGACCAATGGGATGGGAGGATGAATCTTCCCAGTGCAATGTCTCTGATTCACATAAATTCTATTTGCCTGAGTAAAACCACTCGTTGGGAATAAAAATTTTACAGCTCTACTTTTATTTCGTCACGATGTTTTTTGTCTTGCAGGATATGTCGGAGTACAGATGCGAGGATGGCCGACCCCCACAGTATACACCCCACAAATCTGTGACAGGAGTCATTGGAGCATCTTTCAGTGTCGTATCGATAATGGTTGCCAATATTCTCAGGCTCTTCAAAGTAAGTGAAATCTCTAATGCTCCATTTTAGGATTATTCAACCGTCTTTTGGAGAGATATTTGAAAAAGGTCAGACGCCAAGATCAAAAGGTAGAAGAGATACGTGCTCAATCTTGATTCACTCTTGGCTCGTAATTACAGAACGGCTTTCTAAAAAGCTCAATCAATGACTGAGTAACAGTTCAGGAAATCAGTCGGCTCGTCATTTTCAGTTTCATGTCTCAAGTTATCGGGATTCTCCATTTAATGTCCCTTTGTGAAATAATGTTCCACCCAAAGATGAAAAAAATTATTATTTCGAGATGCCTGATTAAAAATCCCTAATTAATTTTTCTATCAAAACATTTATCGTGTTGTTTAATCAAATCTTCGTTTTTTTTTATGATGAATAATTGGGAATGTTGCGATGTACGGAAATATTATTTAAATAGCATGTCTCTGGGAGACCTCAAATGTGCAACAACTCCTGATAACACGATCACTCGTTTAGGAAAGCCGGCAAAGGTTAACCCTCAAATACCGAGTGCTTACACTTTGGTGGGATTGAGGTGATCGGTATTCATGAAACACTGGTGAAAAGTTCCTTGCACCGAGTTCAATAGTAGTTTGGCCAGGTCAGAGTCCGAGGCAATCTGAATTTTACTTAACGTACTTCCAACTCCAAGCCAACCTGTCAAAGTTACCATTCCACTGACACGAGCCCGAAGGAAAAGCCAGTGATACGTGTCAAATATCGATAAGCATCAGCCGACGTGTAACGCTGACCTCAGCTTATTTTCTCTATTCTCTTTTCTCCTGTCCCTCTATTCCTTTCCTCACCTGACTCGGGGATTGATTAATGATGGCAAATTGTCCGGAAAAGTTCAACGAATGAGGTCAATTAATCCTAATAGAACGGAAAAATCCGACTCACTCCGTGATTTCTCCAATTTGCAAAAACCGAAAATGAAAAGTAAATGAAAATCAAAAGAACTGAACGAAGTCAAGCGATGGAATGAAAGTTGGAAAGCACCAGTGAATAAATTACCCCGGTCTTTTTCCAATTGAAAACTCTGGTTAATTGAACAAATCGATTAAACCTCTAGATAGCATTGGAGTAACCAGTTGTGTCCTTTAAATGTGATCTACTATTTATTCCATCCCTCGCTAGACTCTTCAGCCTCTCCTATTTCTTGTCCTATTTCTGGAAGTAAAACTCCACCAGGATATTTATAAAAGTTGAACTTGTTGAAGTTTATCTCACGTTTTATTTGGATAGAGCAGACGGAAGAAGCGGACAGAAGAGATGAGAGGCGAGACCATTGAAAGGTTAAAAGTGGATTCTGGAGAATAGAGGGAATGGATTTAGAGATAGAATGCACCTGCGCAGACATATTGCATGAAGAATTTCGGCTAATTTTCTCTGTATTAAATTGCCATGTGGGTCTTATATCGATGTCGCTCAATTTTTGTATCGATTTCAGTAAGTAATGCACCCCTTCCTCATTCGATTTATCTCGTTTGTCTCTCAAAGGTACCCGAATACCTTTTGTCACCTTTTTTCACTATCACCTCTATTTCTCGGCTTTTAAATTTTTCTCGTTTTCCCACTTTATCTCGTTTTCCAGTTGTTATGTAAAACAGCTTTCCCCTGGTGCAGATAAATATGCACGCTCTTCCCCGTGAAATCGATTTATTGGGAGTATTTTATCATTTCGAGGCGTCTCTATATATTTCAGGCACTAAAATCTAACAGTGTATTTAGTATGCGAGACATCAGAACAATATTTTCGTGTGTTCAACATTCCGGTGTATGCCTTTGTTTGATTTTCTCGTGGACGTGAGATGAATATATATACTTATTTATCTTTGAATATTATTTTCTATTTCTTGATGCTCTTCCTCGGTGAATGAATAATAGAGCGGATGGATGAGGTTTGTGTTTACTTTCTCGTGAATTTGTTAATTTTGAATATTTATTTGAGATATGTTCTCTTCCTTAAATTTTATTATTTGGCTCATTGAGAATGGACAAACTTTATAGACCGTGGAACTTGAGATGGCATTCTTGAATTCTCAATCAACATTCCTTGCCAAGACGCTGGAAGAGAATGCCATGGAAATTTTGAGAATTGATTATGCGAGAAAGAGTTTAAATTTTCTTAGCACCAATTGCACTGGAGTTGGGACGATTATAATATTTATGATGAGAATAAATATATATTGAATTTTTAAGAGCATTTTGATAATCGGTTGTGAAAATAATAGGGAATATTCGTGTGGACATGTGGAGCGAACTTCCCAGCCAGATTCAGCCCTTTATCGTTTCTTTTCGCTTCAGTCAACAAAATCATCGAGCTTTTTTTTTCTGATAGAATCGACATTGTAGGAGCTATTCTACGAGAAGGTTCTCATGGTTCAACAATCTCTTTTCACTCAACATGTCAATCATTTGTGAATTGAAGTTGTCTACAGTTTTTATTCGCCTGTTAGTTTCGGTTTCCTTCATCATTCCTGATTCAGGGAAAAATGTTCACTAATTTCGGACTCCTTGATGAATAAATTTTCAATGAGAGAATTTCTTGAAGTTTCAACGAACCTGTCATCTGTCAAATAAATTTCAGTGAATACTTGTCAAAAGTGTAGAATAACAGAACAACCTCTGCAAGTTTTCCCACCCTAACCATTCACTCATCAAGATCGAGTAGCCAGTTAACAGACGAACTGAACACCACATCGTACCCTCAGAATACTTCATCAGCACTTATCCAGAACTTTATAATTAATTGCCAAGAAAATGTTGAAACAATTTGGCGCAAACTCAACAGCTACGTTAATTCCCTCCATCGAAATAATGACCATGAACCAAAGGTGAGAGTTATTGTTTCCACTCAGAAAGAAGAACAGCCCATTCCGATTGAATAACGAAAGACATCCAATTGTAGAATTGAATTTATCGTCTGCAGTACCAAGACACGCGAAAGAAATGAAAATTTGGAATTAATATTCCAGTGGTACAACGAGTTGCAATTGCAGGCGTGGAATTTCATGCACGTCTCGACTCACGGAGAATTGTACCAAGAGAAAGAGGAGATGAAAATACCGATGGAGATGCGGAAGGGGATGGAAGACAACTACAGAGACAATTTCTTGTGTACACTTGGAAAGAGTGTATGAGCAGAGACGAAAGGACGAGAGCACGAAAGCACATATAGGAATCAAGGGGAGAACCCAGAAGTGGAAACTGGTAAATCGAGATATCTAGTTTGCCGCGAACAAGCTGGAGAACCGAGCAAACTGAAGTATAGATCCTTCTGTCAGATACAAGAGCCTCGTAGTGAACCAAGTCTATCCGTGACACTCTATCCTTCCTACACATCCTCTCCTATTATCCCTATACGACTCCACTATCTCACTTATGTAGGCATTATGTTCCTATTCGCGCCATGTATTATGGGACTAAGCACCAACCGCATCCTCTCGTCCTACCAAATAGCTCCTTGATGCCGACAGACCCTTTGTCAGCACCTCCACTTGTTCTTACCCACGCGGAGATAATTCAATAGCAAAAACTCCCACGTCGGAATCTGCATAGTGTAACCGCATATTGTAACTGTTATCACTGTCTAGTGGAGATTACAATCAAGATGGCAATGGCTACCCGTGGAAGCCCTATATGTGCCCTGAATGTCTCAATTGTCATCATGTTCATGCAGTAATTATTACTATCATGATAATATTGTGGTTAACTATGTGGGACGTGGTAAAATTCATTTAATTGTTTATTTGTGAGTGTTTAGGGTAACACTTGATTGGATCCAGGGTATCTTGTCATTTTTACTCATGTCGATTTTTTTTTCCACTTTTTTTCAGATACCTCAATTGAGCTATGCGTCTACGAGCACCGAGCTCTCGGAGAAGAGCCGCTTCGAGTATTTCAGTCGAGTCGTGCCACCGGATAATTTCCAAGCACAGGCAATGGTTGAAGTGGTACATCAACTCGGTTGGAAATACGTGTCTACTGTGGCGGTTGAGGGTGATTATGGAGAGAAAGTGAGGATAATTGATTTGTAATTACTCATAAATATACATTTTCCATTAGGAATTGATCAAAGTGATGTGGGAATAGGGTATTATCTAGTTCCACCATGGAATTACAATTGCATCATTCGGCATGAGGCGACTTTGCCCATATTCTCGACACATTATTGTCGATTGTTATCCGAACAGAAATTTCACGTTCTATTTCCAGATTGATATTGGTTTTTCATTCGAATTTCATGTTATCTTCCGAAACTCATGCGGATCCTATAATTACTTTAGCAGAGATATTAATTATGCATTAATGAATTCGAACAACGGTATGAGCGAATGTGGAAATTCAATTAAAATCGAAGTTCAATTGAATTATAGGAGTTTTGGAAATCGATTGATATCTGGAATTAAATGGAATTGAAATTTTATTTTCCAATTACAATATGGGCGGGTAACTAGACAGGAAGGATATGGAAATAATTCAGATGCCGAGAGAATATTGAATAGTGAGAATTATCTGGGTGGGTTCTGAGCGTACACCATAATTTTCTAAGAATTCTTAAACTTTTAAAGGATCGTCAGGCCTCCAGAGGAACTTCATGGCTTTTAAATGGCTCCCAGAAGTTTACGATTGATGATCATTAACCTCTGGAGGATGTAATTAAAAATTCAAAGGATAAAGCGCTCTCGCGTTATTGATTACGGTTTTCGTTTCTTCAATTACAAAATAACTTCTCCAATTTCAATAATCCTTTCTCAAAAATCACTCAATTTTTCCCTCTGTATACCCTCGTGTTATTTATCTTTTACGGCGCGTGTTTTCTCATATTTATTTCAACCGATGAAGAAAAAACGACAAAACAATTAGAGGAACTGATAGAAATTCTCATTCTCAAGGCACGATTGGTCGATTAAATATCGATTCGGAGATGATGCGTAATAAAATCGTATAATTTATTGTTGCAGGGAATAGCGAGTTTTATCAGTTTGGCCGGTGAATACAGCATATGCATAGCAGTGAGTGAAAAAATCTTGAGAAATTCTCGTAACGAGGACTTTGACCGGATAATTGAACGACTTAACTCCAAGCACAATGCAAGAGGCGTTGTACTTTTTGTTGATGAGGATAATGTGAGGTAAATCTTACAGCGATTATACCGCCACTTTTACTGTATCCATGCATTATAACAAACTCATTTAGGAGTTTCTATTTTGCCCGAGGCACTTGCTGCACCACAAACTTTCATTATTTATGTGCCGACTCCAGTGCTAACGAGTGAACTTTATCAAAACTGTTTTTCATAATTGTTTTTTTTTTTTAAATATCTTGCTTGGGATTTTGGAAAATAAATGATAAGGTGCTCACTCGTTTTTCACGTCGTCTTCCCCTGGGAATCAATTTCCTTATAATTTACATTCCAAGATTTTTACGTTCTTTCGCCGCTGTCAGGTGCATCCCTCACTGTTTGTGAACTGCGGTTGAATATCTCTCGGTGGAAATAATTGGAGTATTGTACTGCTGAGACAATACGAAAACTCATTCTCATCCTCTGTATCATCCACCTAGAGAGAGGTGGTTTCAAGCTTGTAGGATAATGCTGATATTCCGTATTTTCATTATCGAGAGTGCTCTCGCCTCTATTATCATTGAGCGTTATTCTGTCATAAAGGTAACAGCGAAATAATGAAATATCCGTTGTTGTGGATTTAGTTATTCCAGATAAGGAATTATTGTTGAGGAGAGATAGGGAGATTTCATCGATTTATATAAATCTTATACTTATGTCGGGTTTAACTCAATCGGGAGGTCTATTAATTCATTTTCATGATCATTTCTGACACTTGCGATGCCGAGAAATTAATCGTTTGGCATCGGACTCTCTGGAGCATCCACATCGCTATCCTATGAATAATGGTGGATGAGGTATTGATAAGATGAGAGAGATGAGGAAGAGGGTACGATTTTTCCGTAATAATTCAACAGTATTTTTCCACAGGTGGTGATTCAATGTCGTGTCCTTTATATATAAATGGAAGAGACTGCAATTATCTCGAAATGTCACGTCAGAAATATTCAAGATTTTATCATTATCATATAACGGTCGAGACAAATATGATGGGGTACCCTGAAAATTCCAATCTTCTTATGCGGGGTATGGGATGAGTTGGTGATGCCAAGAAGTGTAGAATGATTTTGAAAAAAAATTTTTGTTTTCCGATTAATTCGGATTGTACACTCATTCCCAGAAAAAATAAACTAAAAAATCCTTTTCTAGAAAATCCATTTTTCCATCAAGTAAGCTAGGGAAATATCAGGAGTATTTTCAATGCAGCTGTCATTTGTGAAAATTAAACAGGAGGATTTCTCTTCCACGTTTTGTTCTTCGCAGGATAAGTGGTTATATCCGACTATCTCCACTCACATCCCATGGGTGCTTTCAGGCTTGGCTACACATGACGTTCCTACAACTATCGTGCACACAGGGTTATTTATCACAGCAAAACACGGTGTACTGCCCGTTTTTTTTCACACCATGTACCCTGTTTTATTATTGTCGAGGGGGTAAAAGAGAATTATATTCTCACCGTTCCGCCAAATGAGAACAATTTCCCATGCCCCGGTAATGATGGGTTTTTCCAGAATTTTTCCCCAGCATCACTCGTGTTTCTTTATCTCTCGGGAAGATTAATCGGTGATAATACGGACAATGCCGTGTAGAGTAATTCTCCTCTTACAATTGTTGACTCATATTACATGACAATTTGTCATCACAATGGAGGCAAACATCGTATTAGTTTAACGCATGTGAAAGAATCACCGTTCACGCAAAATGTAATTTAATCCAATATCCATCATTCAAGTGTGTGCTTTAATATTAAAGCGGGAGTACTCAGCTTTTGAAATATTAGTTTTCCGATGGAAGGGGCCTTGCAGAGTACTCGTAATGTATACTTTTACGAATGTAGTCGATCATTCCATTTAGTCCACTGTCAGGCACCGTGTACGTACCATTTTTACTCTCCACTTTTATGATTCGCTGTTCGTTAATACTTTTAACACGCGTAGACAGGGGAAAAAGTGGTGGCACTGGCGGTGCTTCGAAACTCTTTTTATTCTCCTTGTTATTTCACTGTCGACTGATTTTTTTTTTTTTGCTTTCATTCACTTCTGCTGAAAGAATGATGGTAATTTATGCCGCCCCAGGGTTCAACCAAGTGGCTTCATACTCGATGACACTCCCATTCATTGACCCCTTTATCCCTTCAACCCTGAAACGTTGACCTTTGCCGTTTCGCAAAAGGTTCGTTGTGTGTTCATAGAATTCCGTACAAATTTGCATCGTTATCGTACCTGCAGACCATTTGCCACGGGCGAACGTTAAAGCGAGCTTTAAATGAAGCGGGTGAGATTGAGACTAGGGAAGATTTGAGTGCTGGGGGTAGATAGGGATGCTATTAGACAATAGGGGAATCCTTGGGATCATCAGAATGAAGCACTGATTCAGCTGAATAATTCATCAATTTTAATCCAGTAAATTAATTCCAACGTTTTCGGAGATTTTCATATCCTCTCGAATATTTTTATGACGCCAAAAACATTTTTAGATGTTTTTTTTTTAATGTTTATAACCAACAAATTTTTTGTCATTCCCGGGGACATAACAGTTATAAAATTTCGAATAGCGGAGAATAGCTCTCTCAATGAAACCGAAAATTCTCCTTATATTACCTCATAAATTTAATAGTACGAGATGGTTTGCATTTATTTGAAATATTTGGGGTTTAGCCACGTCGGGTTGACGGCCCGATTTCGTTGTAACGGGAGTTACCCTTGAAATGATTTTGAATTAAAAAAAAATTCCCGCCTCCCCTGCCCCTAGGCCCCTTTCACAATGATTCCCAAATTTTGGCGATTCTTTGAATTTGATATATAATAAAATTACACCTAATAAAATGAATCCCCACCTGTTGGTGATGTTATTCCTCAGGAAGCTGTTGCAAGCTACCATCAGAGCTAACCGAACTGGTCATTTTATGTGGGTCGGCAGTGACTCGTGGGGTGCTAAAGTTCATCCAGTCAGAGACCAGGAAATTGCAGCTGAGAGTGCAATAACAATTCTACCATTTCGTAATCGTCTCGATGGTAAGTCTATCAGGAATTTTAAAAACAAAAAGAACAATTGAAAAGTACTTTCAACTGTCAAAGTGAGACTCACCGATGAATGAATTCACACAATTCTTTTGACATTTCCACTTCATTCCCACAAATTGAAATCCGTCTTTTTCATCGAGATCCGTTAATGAATAACATCGGCTCCTTAATTATTTTCAAGCGTACTCCTCTTTTTTTTGAAGTGCCCGTGTTTTCCTCTTTCCCGTATCCATTCTACTCGTTCCATTTCTCTCATCCCCTTGTCAATCATTCTCTTTTTACGAATAACTCCCACTACGAGTGCTCCATTTTTTTCTATTTTCCTTTGCACGAGCAACGATTTCAAAGTGAGATAAAAGTCATCCCTTCAGTCCTCCACAACAGATGCGCAACGATGCGATTTTCAATGTGTATACGAGAGTAGCATTTGATCACAAAATAGAGGCAGTGCTGGCTTATGGAATTGGAAATGATTCGAAATGAATGGAAGGGGAGAAAAGCGGAAATGGTACGGGGGAAAAAAAAATAACACGACCCCGAGGCATCCCAGAGGATGTTGTTGCATATGCACACGATCGATATCTCTTATAATTCATCTGACTTGGGTAATGGAAATAATAGCTTCCAACCATTTTTCGAAATGTACAGGTTAAAATTAAATTAAATCATTGAATTTTGTGTCTATTTTCCAATGTGGGAAGAGTTAAGCCCCAGATTCAAATTGTATCAGTGAGCATTTCCATCGTGACACTTGCCAGTGAAACTGGATTATCTCGTGATCTCGTGATCTCATGATTAAATATCAACAATCAATGAATTATATAAGATACCGTTCGGGTATTGAATCAATCAATTGAATGATTACAAGTAATTAAATAATTAAATCGTATTTGTTTGCCTCTTCAATAAAAAAACTGTCGCCATGTTCTACAAACAGTCGTTCACCTTTCAATTGGAAAATTTCGGGGAGTTTGAAATTTTACCGAAACAACTCTCACTGATTCCCTCCATCCATCAGCATGGCATATCCTTCCCTACATGTCCACCGATCAAATTCCAATTCAAAGTTTCACCCCAACTTTGATGATTCAGATGAATTTCAAATTATTTGTCTCCATCAGGTCTGCGGTTTGGCTCGAAATCCCAAACTTAATTAAATTCATATTTGAACTCTAATACACGGTTCTGGTACATTCGACTGCACAGTAAATGACTTTGAAACAACTTTGGAACAATCAAGAAAATTAATATCATCGTTCCAGCATCCGCCTATCTTCCACATGCTTCCTACGCACCTTTTATGATTATATGATTTTGAGCCGGGAAAATTAAATTACATGGGAAGATTCAGAGATTAACGAGGTTAAAGCGACTGCTGGGTAGATGAATTCCTGCAGCTTTTTCCATATAGAGCATTCAACATCGTTTCAATTCAACCGATATAGTTGAAATATCACCGCAGCTGTTGCTACCCAGAGCTCTTTCTCATTGATTGGGTTTGGAAAATGCGGAAAAACACCAGAAATGCACTCGATACATTTATTCTTCAGTTATTTTGTTAAATGTCTTTTACTTTTCATTGCTATTTTCCGAATTTTTCGTTCTATTGTTCTCCCATTCTGGCACATGCATGGCAAAGTGTATTGTACGCGTGCGAATGAAATCAGTCGATTGATTTGATTTTTCTATCTCCCCAGAGGTACACACACAGGAAAAATATTACATCCACGTTTTTGTCTGATTAATGCCATACATTTTTCACTCATTGTTCCCATTGACTGGTTGTGAAAAAAATATAATTACATGACTAGCCATTTTTGGAGGAAAAATAATAATGGAATTGAACAATTGAGTGGAAAAATATTGATTGAAATGAATCAGAAAATAAAAGGGATACGAATTAGTTTTGTATTGGATAAATAATTCATTGGAATTACGACGTAATGAACTCTGGATGGGGAATTTTCTGCATAAAATTTCAATGACACGCGCATATCGACCAATATCCCTTGATAATGGACCCCATATAGGTGCACCATACGCACAGAATAATCACGAATAATTTGCATGATTAATCGTTTCATCGGTCTCTCAATGCGAGATTAATCGATATCAAACGGTGGTGTGCGTGGGAGTGCAAAATCTTGTTGGTTTTTACTTGTGGAGTCAAATGTAGATAATTCTGACTTTACTACTTCCAGATTTTGACGTCTATTACAAAAATCTCCGACCACGAGTTGGGGATGAGTGCGAGGGCCAGATGGAGAGGAATGTACCACATGCCAAATTACCCGGGAAAATAGTCAATTGTCGTAATGTATGGTTTAGAGAATTCTGGTCACAGCATCACAAGTGTACATTCGGTGGTTCAACCTCTCAATTCGGACTTAAAAGATGCACTGGCGACGAAATTATGAACGAGTACGATCAGGAGGGTCTTGTCCCTTTTGTAGGTGAGATCTCCTCGATAATTTATCCAAAAATGGTCGTCGTATCTCAATTGTAGAAATATATAAAGGTGAATAAACACATTCTCGATCGAGCTAATCTCCCTCCGAATTTCCACTTTCCCGATCTAGGACTTTATTTCCGTGTTTACAGCCCGGCAATTCATTTATTTTTATCTCAACCACAGCGATGTTATTCTATCCAAGAGAGAGAATTGCAGTCATATGTCTGAGTCTCGCACTTTATCCGTTGGATTTCGATCATGAAAATCCCTTGTTAGGGGAATTGCCACTGCGACACTTTACGTATGCCAACTATGGGCCGCACTCTGTTACCATGATAAAAGACAAATGGCACACGTGCTTGGTACACCACCCCAGAGGTCTCAAACTTTAGTACCCCTTTTTTCTCAATTGGATAAGTTTTTCTTGCCGTACAATGCCCTTTTTCCTCCTTTTTTCTTTATCTTTTTCTCCGATTTTCTCTTTCACCTTTGCTCAACCCCGGACAATTTATAAATGGTCCTGGGGTCGTCTGGTATTTGTCATTTGGCAACTCCCACCAACACAAGGAATGGGAAAACCCAATTCCTAAGGAAAACTCTCCCTTTTACATATATAAACATGCATTGTAATATTTTAATCAAATTCCTTTCATTCCAAATACTGGGGTGTGGAATAACATGAAAATTATTGATTTTGCCTTTTTTCTTTTCTTGAGATTCTTGTCACCACTTTTCATCTTGTCTGCTAAGTGAAAAAATGAAATAAGAGTGAGGGGAGTAGCTGGCGTGCTCTCAAAGTCATTTGCCTTTCTCTGTTCAGCTATCGTAACGTCACCCTCGGGTATTTTCTTATCAAAATTTCATATCCACTTTTACGAGGCTGGGAATTACCCAGGAGCACACGCTGGATGAAACTTTTGCATGATTTATATCTGGTCGAGTGGAATTAATACATTTTTCAGGATTTAAGATTGATTAAATGCACTTTAAATTTAACGCGCGTCGGGTAAAATAATTCTCGATGCAATTTTCTTCACGTGTGAAATTTTTACACTACGAATTTTCCATATCGCATTTTTCTTTCAATTATTTCACAGCTTTCAGACCAGTGGTGGAAAATAATTCGAGAAAGTTATAACTGCAGCTCGAAAAACCGGCAATTCTTTTTAATGCAACTTTAATTTGTTTGCGCAAAAAAATCGAAAGCCAACTGGCAATTTCAAACTCATAATTTATCCATGTATGTAAATTTTAAATTAAATGATGCTCGAATGAAATTTACTTGATCCTTAATTCTCAACTTCAATTATATTTTCGCGATGTGAACAAAGAGAATAGAAAATGAATGTAATCAACGGAGCGGGCATTGTCTGGTAGGTAATTCACGTGAAAATTTCGCTTTGATAAGAAAAATCCATTTTCATGCCGTAAAAATAAATAGAGTACAAGTGCTCCTTATCACGCTCTACATTAATATATCACTGTTAATGTCTCCAGTGGATGCAGTTTATGCAATGGCACACGCAGTGCACAATTACATTGACGATGAGTGTGTCAAAGCTGAAGGAACAATGCACCACCTGTGCGATAAACTAGCACCAGCACCACCCGGTCAACATCTTCTCCAGTACATACGTAATGTAACATTCGTCGGTTAGTATTCAAAGCAACTTCTCTCCGCACATTTTAAATCAAATCAGCGAAACGACAATGTGCACTCTTGTATTGTACTCGGAGTCTGATGGATGTTGAAGAGACGAGAGGCCAATAGTGGTGAGAACAAGCGTGAATATTCGAAATACTCGGTACTTCAAACCCCCAGGCCAAGTGCTCAAGTACCGAGACCGTACTTTAATTAATAAGTCAACGCTGAATTGCCTGACCGTGTAAATTTACGTGCCAATGAATTTCCCAGACAAATATTGAAATTTCTCCTCTTTTAATATAGAGGGAGAAGGATTTTTTATGGCCAACGCATCGGTTTACGACATTTTATTAAATTTTTCTCGCAGTGTACGCTATAATGGCTTTCATGGGAAATAGCTCTCAATGTTCATCATCATGTTTTTTTACTGCTCTACTTCCCTTTTCTTTGTCTTGTCACATCATTTATCGCATGGTTGAAAAATTCAAAACGAACAGAAAACTTATAAAAGTCAGAAATGTTATACTGCAAATTGGAATAAAATTTTTTCAAAGATCATTTTCTGTATTTCGAGGGTGAGACTCTATTTTAATTGTCCCCGAGGAATTTACAACGTAAATAAAACGAGGAGAGGTAAATGGAGTGCCGAAGACGGGTTTGCGTGGAATTGACGGTAATGTGCTGGTACTTTCTGTCAGAGGGTAGTAAATAATCGTTGAGCTGAGGGAAAATTCATTAAGTAAGTGCGACGATTGAGTAACGAGCCGTCTTTCCCCAGGTCGTCAGGAGACGGAAATAAGATTCAATTCTGACGGGGATGCCTACGGGTACTACAACATTTATCAGTATCAGAGGAATGAAGAGGGCCGGTTCGATTACACGAGAATTGGATCTTGGAAGGAAATGTAAGTTGAGGAATTATCCATTTTTTACGCAACGAAATCAATAGAAACCTTCTGTGTATGCCATTATATCGAAATTTCTCGGACATTCCAGAAATTCTTTCATTCGATTCAATTCAATTTGATTTAAAGGGAAAGAGTGGAGAATTTCGAGTAATGAATTCTCAACGAAAAAAATTCCCTGAAAATTCACTGAAAATTCACTGAAATAATTTGGAACAGTGCGCATTTAATGGATTGATGAATAACGAATGGAGTAATGAGTACGCGGATATGATTCCCTCGTTGTGTTCTCTGTACTGTATACAAAGTTTTAAAAAATGAATATTAAAAATATTCCACAGCTAATCTATTTAACACTGCATGACGAGGTTTTCACGTGCCCTCGTAATGCTGTACTAATCTAACATTATATTTTTCTCATTAAGACTCACTCTGGATATTAACATGACGAGGTGGACCGGGGGTCCTGGTGAGGCTAATATACCCCGCAGTACCTGCAGCGACAATTGTCCGCTGGGTCACGTTCGTAATTTCCAGGTAATCCTCACTGTTTCATGTGACATAACGAGAAAAAATAAAACAGAGATTAAAAAAAAATGAACAAATTATGCAAGACTACAAAAGCCTCGCTGTGTGGTGTTTTATTTGAACTGTACAATAGGATATTGGAACGGTAAAGCGCTGGAGGGAATCAAAACAGGAGAATAATTTTGTGTGGTAGTTGGGCATATCCATTTACCCGATGACGTCTATATACCTTCCCCCTGAGGTGCACCTATCAGTTATCCGAGCTTGGTGCTGGAAAATCTCTCTTTTCTTTTCGTGTTAAAACAAGTTTTTCCATCGATCTATACTCTAGATTCTGGGAGCACCGGTGCTCTGATGTTAAAAATTCCTTCTATTCCCCTGACAATTCACCCTCTGACATTTCCTCTTGACGAGTGAAAAGGGAGAGAATGTGCGGTCTTATTTATAAATTTATTCAAAATTTATAAGACTTTCCTTATTCGAGAATCTGATCAACAATTTTTGGAATTTTTAGGATTTAAAGAAATGATTGCTTCTCTGAGTGGTGGAACCAAATGTCACCGACTATTCCCCGCATATTATATATTGTTATTAATTATTAACTAACAATTTCTTCAATTTGTCATTCTCCAGTGTCCTCTGCAAGTTTCACGGAATTTATGCAGGCCTTGTTCAATATTTTCAGTTGAGTCAATGAGTTTCGATGGTTCATACTCCGCATATACATAATCAAACAGTCATACAGAGAATTAGCACACTGAAAAGTTTCAGGACAGCTCGGATTATTACTTCGTGTTTCCATAACGCGAAATGAACAGTTACGAAGTAAATTCACAGTGCAAGTAACTGGGAGATATTTCTCGTGTTCAAGTGGAATTCAGCGTTCATTTATTTTATCAGAGATAACTCGTACTGTCGCTATGATTTCTCTTGAGACTGACGAACCGACAACGACAGGCCAGTTATTTTGTTTCCAGTGTGCACTAGAAAACTTTCAATGACTTTTCAATAGCTATGAAGCCCCACTAGATCTCGACATTTTATCATCGCTTTTTGTTTCACCTTATTTTATCGCTTCGTCTCATAATCTTTTTTTTTTCAAGTTGAAAAAATAAGTGGAAGGCTATTGTTGTGAATAAAGTGCCATAGAAAATACTTCCAATTGATTCTCACGATGACCGGCTATTTTTTTTCAGTGGATCGACCAAGAAAACAAACACACGTTTGATATATTTGGTGGTCTCGTTTTTCATCCCTTTGAGTCACCCCCTCAAAACCCCCACGAATGAGGGATGTTTTCAAACAGAGGCATTTCCCCTAGTTTTTTTTTTCATTTATCTATGACATGTCATGAAAATTCTTTATGGCGCCGACCAAAAGTATTTATCACTGCCTTGCCTGATTATTCGTTGAGTCATTTCACTTCTCCAACTTGTGTTGTTTCCAGTAATTGCTCTCTACAATTATTTCAATTCCGAGCATTAAATTAAAAATCAAATTAAAAAGCTTTAAAATGCTCGAAATGCTCAAAAGCTCGAAAATATGCAATTGAATGAATTTCAGGATGCGTGCTGCTGGAGTTGCATGAGCTGCTCGGAAACGGCGTACGTTTACAATGACACCTGTCACATCTGCGAGCCAGGATGGGCCCCTGATATCTGGAAATCTAAATGCATTAAAGTACCCGCGGAAGTTATCCACTGGCGGAGTCCGTGGGCAATAGTGCCACTTGCTTTTGCTGCCATCGGAATACTCAGTACTCTATTCACTTTCATGGTTTTTTTGCGGTAAGTTATATTAACTTTCCTTCATTACACTTCTATTCACTTCTCTTAAAAACTTTCATTTCACTCTCTGAGTTTTTAATCTCATCAGACCGAATTTCTCTTGTAGAGCCATCAACTTTGGTTTATTTTGTTCGCACCGGATGACTTAATCTCGCCTTTTCCAGTAGCTAATAAAACTATCCTTTGGATTTAATGGTGATCAATTTGCCCATCTCTCCCCGACTGCACGCCGTCACCAATAATTTTTTTTATGTACCATGGAATTGTCGATGAGTAAACTTATCTGATAGTCACTCCCGATAATTTCAAAGGTTCAATGATACACCAGTCATAAAGGCCTCGGGACGAGAGCTCTGCTACGTCTTACTCGTTGGAATTCTCTCCTGCTATGCAATGACTTTCATCATTCTGAGTGAACCTACGAGTTGGAACTGCACGTACTTACGCATTGGATTGGGTTTGTGCTTGAGCATCTGCTACAGTGCCATACTAACAAAAACAATTCGTATATCACGTATAATAAATGTGGATAAAATATCAGTGAAAAGGCCATCATATACCTCCCCAAGGAGCCAAGTGGCAATTGCTATTGGTGAGATTGCTTCTCTGTGAAAAAAAAATCAATTACTCTTCTCGTATTCCATTTGCTTTTGTCACTCTACTAGACTCAGTAAACCAAGAGGAAAAAAAAAATACCACTCCTGTACTTTTTATTCCAGGAATAACTTCGGTTCAACTGATCGGTGCAATAGTCTGGCTAATGATAGAAGCACCGGACATCAAAGAGATTCATCCAAGTCCATTGACAGCAGTCCTCACTTGTCGTGTATCAACGTTTTCACTGATGATGTCACTAGTATACAATATGCTACTCATTCTCATGTGCACATTGTATGCATTTAAAACCCGAAAAATACCAGCTAATTTCAATGAAGCCAAATACATCGGTTTCACGATGTACTCGACGTGCATCGTGTGGCTGGCATTTGTACCTATTTATTTTAGTAGTTACAACGATTATACGGTACGTCGTAGACCCTCATCCTTACTCCTCCAATGAAGACCAAACACGGTCTCATCGGAATTCTCAATATCTTTTTGCAGATTCAAATAGCGAGTATGTGTATGTGCATCAACATCTCAGCTACGGTAGTCCTGGGATGTCTGTTCACCCCGAAAGTATATCTCGTAATCTTTCAGCCGGAAAAGAACATCAGGCCAGGCCATCCGAACGTAAGTACTGCCCGTAGCCCCATCAAAAGCCCGCAGTGCCTTGAGATTTTTATCTTGGCTTCGACAAAGAAGAAGTAGGTGACAGGGAGATGAAATTGTACAATTTTCTCCCATTGTCTCATCACTCAGATGGCGCCTGGTGCCCCCGGGGGTCCTGCTGCTGGTCTAGGTCACCTAAATCGACAGATTTACAGTATGCGTTTCACGGGCCCCAGGAGTCAAACAATGCAGAGTGTAACGTCGTATTCGAGGAGTAGTCCAACAAGACACAGTCAGCCAGACGTCAAAGCAATAAATGGAGAATCTCAACTGCCTGCAAGCCCATCCTGCGATGAAACTTCCTTCAGCTAGGTTCAATTACCCCTCCCCCCGAGTCCTAAGGTACCAGATAATACACCTCAAGGGGAGGCATTTGTAAACAATAGTGGTGTTAATAGTCATGCTGATGAGGATGTCATTCAGTTCACTGTACCGGAGTTGCACGTCCTGCCAAACAGCCATGATATTGATGATGTGAGCATGACAAATGAGCCTGTCTCACTTGATCCCATGGATTTGTCTCTCACAGGATCCGTCCAGGTAATGACTGCAGACTACTCGTTTTTTTTTTCTCTTCCTCATTATCCCCTCTGTCACGTATCACCTTCTCCACACTCCATTACCATTTTTTATGCCTCACTTTTATTGTCCTTCTTCTTCAGTCAACTGAGATTGAGGCGATCACTTATGGTGCTGTACCCACTGTATCAAGGAGAGTTGATGAGAATTGTGAAGATGGGAATACACCGTCGGGACACAGTGGAACGCTTGTCATGTCCAGTCCTTCCCCAACCTTCTCTGAATTCTCCTCGTAATAATTCAATAGGTATGCCAAAAAAAAATGTGAAAAATGGAGAAAAGGGGCTGAGAATCCCTAATGGTAGGGGTAAAACGAAACTATTATACTGTCTTCCATTGGGCTCCAGTGCTCCATGCTTCCTTACTTTTTCCTTCGTCTTCGGTTTTGTTTACTCGTTTAGTTAGGGAAATTGGGGAGAAGTGATGGGTTAAGGGAGTATCGATTTCACTCCATCATGTGTCATACTGAAATTTAACACCAACTCAGCCAAAACACTCCCATCTTCAAAGTAAACATCGAACCGGAGATCTGGTTTTTTCTCACGATTGAGTGCCTGATAGCTACCGAGGAGGATCTGCTCGTTGTATCCGTTTTCAAGTGTTATCATTCCATCGGGGTGTTATTCTAGCCGCTCTTCCCTTCAAATCCACAAACGGTCAGGACTTTTTAACTCTAGTTATTCAAAGGACAAGTACACTTCTCTTGTCAAGGATATCCTAGTACTACTTTGGATTCTTTAGTCACTAGCTTTCACATGAAAAATAAAATGAGTCGAAGGGAGAAGTGAGGAAATGGAGCTTTCGGAAAAATTGCAGTTCCAGCATGCGCTATTTATGAGTATTATGTGTAAATACATTGAAAATGAATTTTTATGATAGAATAGGTAATCGCGATACAAAAAAAGTACTTTTTGACGATTGTAATGGCACTCGGTAGAAAGCACTCTTTTTCACTTGTACTATAAAAAAAATAAGGGGAGAAAGGGACATATTACACCGGTATTTGGTTTCCGTTGTGCGTGTAGTAAATCGCAATTGCGGGGACGTATTATAATAGTGTTAAACTAAACGAACACCAACCGGGACTGGGCTCGTTTGCCTCGCAATCGCATATCACGGGGTCCAACCAAAGTATCCGGTGGCCTCGTTTCTCACAAACCCTCTTTAATACCGTGCAATGCCCGCAGACTGCAATTTTGTACATAAATTTTTATCGTCATAGACTATTAGTGGATGATACTCGGTATACAGTAAATAAAACTAAGTTATTTTTTTAATTAAATTGACAGAGATACGTCATTTGGTTCTGTTACTTCAATGATACGTTGGGGATTTATTGACTTGCACTGAGATTTCAATTGTAGCTTTTCTACCTTCTTCCTCTTTTACACCCTCCATATGTCTACAATGGGATTGAAAATAACATTTTTTAACATGAACAATCATAGTGGCTTCAGAATTGGATATTCATTGCTGTTGAATTATTGAACAGATGGTTTTTGTAACTGCTGTTGAAATCTCATGCAGTTTTGCGGCACGATATGAATTGTTAGGTAAAGATAACTTTGTAAAAGAAAAATAAATCATCGATTGGATATTGTGGTGAAATAGGTAATTAATGTAAATTAGGTACCAGTCAATTCGAATCTCCGTGCAATCGACAAATTCGGCAATTCGCGGACAAACTTAACTTGTGGATTTGTGTGAGAGGATTGCATTTAAATCGGAAATAATTCTCCAGACTCTTCAGTATTTAATTCATGTATAAACATTCGGTGTTTAGTGTGAAAAGATTGCTCATGAATCATGACTCATCTTTATCAAACAAGTATTAATATTTAAGGTAAATTCGGTGTAAGAGTGATACTTGGGAATTAAGCGGGTGTACGATGCTTAAGGAAATAAAGCTTTAGAGGAAGTATTCTACGTTATCAGGGTTTATCTGAGATACAATGGAAATGTAAATAGATTGCCGTTATGGATAACTTGAGTGTTAATGTGTCTTATCGATTTAATCATCCGAGAAAAGCATTAACAGGTGCAATCTTACTCGTGCCAAGTAATCATTTCAACTATTAATGATGTATATATGGTTATAAATTAATGTGCACTAGGGAGGACACATTTTCAACGACACAATGCAATATCTTTGTGAAAGATAAAACGCTTATTATTGATTTTTTAATTTTGTTATGAAAAATAATGGTCAAAATATAAACAATAATGAGTAATACTGTAAGGTAATTAAAGGATATGGTCGAATGTGTACTCAAGTGATACAATAGAACAATGCTTGCCAAACCATCAATAATATCATGAATTTATTAGCTTTTTTTTTATAGAGTATATCAATATTGATACTTGTTGAATCTTTGGAAAATAATGTTCATGTAAATATTGTACACGCCGGATGAAGGTTTACGAGTAGATTGTTGGAAATCTATATGAATGTTATAACTCAAAAAAATATAGTATATGCAGGCCATTAATATTTGTAATTGATGCAACAAAAATCAAAATCAAACATGTTGATCAAAATATCTTCATCGCGAATATTTGATTATTAATTACCATGAAAAACATCACCATTATTCATGTTGATAAATTTTCAATGGGCGATTCGTAGGTAAAACTGCTCACTTCCCGCTCATATATTCATTATCGTAGGGTCATCGCACATTGTAATTGTTCTTTTTCACGCGTGCGATTACAAGCCAATGCGTGTACGCATGAATTATCAGATACACTGATAATACGTTCGATGGAAATGACAGACAAATGGCTCGAACACTACGTGTTTCTCCACATTTATTTTACAAATTTCACGAGCATATAACAATCATCTTGGAAATATATGTACGTTTTTTTGTAATAAACCACATTAAAATCCATGACAGTCTTGATTTTCATAATCCCATGAAAAAAAAAATCATATTTCCTCCAACAAAGTCTATGTACAGATAACAAAATATAATGAAGAAAGCTTTAAACACATAGGCACATAAATCTTTGACAATGAGACTGTGGGTGGGAGAATATGAGAATTGTTGACCTCATGGCTTCATGTATCGTCCACGCTGTCGATCCTGGTGATCACAGTACTCGGTGAAGATGAGTTTGCAGAGAAACATATGGAAAACAACGATGAGAAAACATATGCTGACCCAAAAAAATGTTGGTAATCCACCCAATTGATGGCCATGTTTGTGCAGTGCCATCACATGGTGATCATGGGCTGGTGCTTCATCAACGGCATGTACATGAAGAGCATTTCGTAGGTCTTGCATGTGCTGATGGTCAGATGTTATGTACAATATGGCTGTCAGGGGTTGTGTTAATTTAACTGGAAAATTCGTGTAGGTCTGGCTAAGAGGTACCGGTGAATCCAAACATGCTGCGTCACAAGCGTAATAGTCACTGTCACTTCGATCCAGTGCTACACCGAGAATTGCACGATTATCCTCGTTTACGGTCACTGAAATGTTTACGTGGGTGGCGTTGCCATAGCTGATTCGCCTGAGAACAACGCACATAAAAGCGTGGATCACTTAGAATGTCGTAAATTTTCATTGATTAGTATTTTACCTGAAGAGATAATCTCGGTGAAGATACTGCGGATCGATATTGAACTCGAGATGTTGATTGCTAAATCTAAAACCTCCAAGACTCAGTACAATAGCTTGCTCCACGGCAGTCGGTCCCCCAGTTAATAAATGATGACATCCTTGCTTCTCTAGGGTTATCAACCACGCTTTGACTATGGAATTCACTCCATCAATCGTTGACGTATCTCGCCATAATTTCGGTGCATCTCTGCAATGATTTTTTTTTCATCGATCCTAATCTTTTGATACATGAGCATAACTTCAATGGCGACTTACAGTGTATGGTGGCCACGATAACACCCTTCATTATTGGAAACAGATTTTTCAACGTTTAAAATCCCTTTAGGCACTTGAGACAGGACGTAGTAAATTGTTGAATTTATTTTGTGGCCATTCAAGGCACCCTTGGCTTTTGATTTACTTATGCTGAAGCCAGTGTGCCAATAATGCTTCCATGTATTCATGTGGTCATCTTTTAATCCTTCCTGCTGCATATTCAGCGCCTTTTTCATTGCCTGAGGGGAATGGATACTGAATCAAAATTTTTTTTTCTTGGGATTTTTCAAATATTCCATTTCATTTATCCCCAGAATACATTTTGGGTTGAAATAAATAAATGCAATGGGTTAGGGAAATTACTACGAACTTCAATTGCTTTTCTCTGAGTGATTTCACGTTCAGCGACGTATCTCCTGGATATCTGGGGCTCGCTATAGGATATACTCGTGAAGAACTCGATTTTTGTTGAACTTCTCGGCTTAACTACCACATTTTTCTGAGGTGTTTTATATAATATGGAAATTACTATTATCTGATTTGAATCTGGCAGAGGGACATAACCAGATGTAATCACGTAAGCGTGATTTTTCCCGTCTACTTGAATACTAGAAATGTGGAAGATAATTAGCAGATCATAAAAATAATTTAATTATTTCAAAAATTTTTAGCAATACTAACTTAACATTTTTAGTTTCATCGTCAGTCCAATGTGGCATTGTATTCAATCTGAGGGGCACCTCTTGAGTTATAGTTGAAGGATTAAAAATCGTGATATCCTCCACAAGAATTCCATCAAAAATTCTGTGCGCATAGTACTGTGTATCTATGTGATATCCACTCCTCAGGCATTGATACTTGTATACAATTCCCTGGGTGAAATGCATGACAGTTGCCTCACGATGTGGAGTATCATCGGGCAGGGGAACCGATACAAGAGGATCCCAGTGTGCGAATAGGGAAAGCGTTCGTCCCTGACGTACGTACAGACGACCAACAGGAGACACTTGCACTCCAAATACACCATTTCCAACGTACGGCAGATAATTGTGATCTCCTTCGTCGGCTGGATCATTGAGAATAGTTGCATCACTATTCGACACGTCGTCGTTAAAATTCGAAAGCCTCTCCCGAAGGCATTCGTCCTCAAATGCTTGAACATTGAAAAATCATTCATCTGTGATCTGCAGATGTGTCTCGATATTTTTACAGTAGAATATATTAACGATACCTTCAACAGGTTCCCGACTTCCAGAAAAAAGCCAGTGGGCAAAAGGCTGACCAAAATACAGAATAAATCCACCCATGACGATTAAGAAGACTAGGATTTTCCGATACGAATAATTTCCATCGAGAAATCTTCGCACTCTCTTCCCAAACTCACGCACGTCAAACATACCTCCAGTCCGCATTTTCCGTTGACTTTAAATATATTTCAATAAATAAGAATTTACAGGAGGAATTCGATGCAGACTGAATGACACTAGCAAACATAACCTTGATGGGTGTTAAAAACCGCGCAGAGTACCATTGACATAAGATCAAAGTACTTTTATGTCATTCACCTTCGATTTAACCCATGAAATAGGGATTTTAATTATAATTGTGTATTTTTAACGGAATCCTACGATTTTTCGATAGAACTGCGGCTAAATAAACAAACGTCATTTTTGATGGTTATAACCACTGGTCGGTCGTATATATATAGATATATATGCAGCATAGATATAGAACAGAAAAGAGAGGAAAAGTCGCTCCTATTCTGTTTTGTGCTGCCCCCATCAATCTAAAGTGCATATGCACTTAAAAACGTGCATACCATACGCATACATATTGATTACTAATTACACCAGAATAAATATCAGTAATGAAATATATATTAGGTGAGGGTGAAGGAAAATGGAATGGACGAATCAAACTTTTTGTTCCGATAATTGATCGAATTACGCGAATATTATATAAACTTCATTCGTAATCCATAAATTATTGAAGCGGTTGCATTAATTCAAGAGTATTTGTAATTAATATGAAAATTTTCAAATTTTTATTATTAGAAAAATCGATAGAAATTGGAGAGCGATTTTTTTTTTCGATTGCTTTGGCGTGGAATCAGATAATTCGGTATTTCGATTTCGAAATTCAAGCTGCAGTGATTTTTATAGGTGACAGAGAATTATTGCAGTATCGAAACAACATTCAATATGAATTATACTTTTCCGGAATAAAAAGCCCCATTGATATGATGGTGCACCATAGTTCCCGCGCCACTTCCCGCACATCCTCTTGTCATTCGGGATATGCCTAGTGTACTCTACACTCCCCTCTTAAAAAAATGTAATGACTCCAGTCAAATGAGCAATCCGCGTGCCACCAATTGATGGCTGTCATCTCGATACGTCTTTTTTCCAATCGGTGATCTCATCAGATCATTCATTATCCATTTCACGCAGGTACCACTTCAAATGGACAAATCATCCCTCTTTATTTATTCATTAAATCAATCATAGTACTCAAGTCCGACGAGTAATTACGGAAGGAATTTGAGAATTCCATGCAGTTATTGGCGTTATTTTATAAATTTTCATTTTTTAATCCTCGATTTTTTTACTCCAACACAATTTTTTAATAATCGATTTTCAAATTCATGTCCGAGGGAATTGAGATCGATAAATAATTCTTCAGTATTCCAAATTAAAGAATGGTCTTTGAAAGACTGTGACTTGGGTGATTGTGTTAGTAGAGCATGCTCGAACAGCCCCCTTTTTTTCAGAATAACTCTCGAACGGATGCAGGGACAGATCGGTGTCACGTGAACCCCTCCGGATATACCCAGCTTCCTAGTCTTGCTCACCTACTCTAAACTAACCGATTCGTTCTATCCTCAGCATTATTTTTTCATCTGGAAAATATGATTAATTATAAAATCCAGAAGTTCCCCGATTAAAAAGGCCACCGAGGGCATCGTCACACCCCTGAGTTGCCTACACCGGGAGAACTTGAAAAATCATCGAGAAATAATGGAAACAACTGTACAATATTGGGTGACTGTGACAGATTGTTGGGAAAATTCTTCCGTTGGTGATAAAAAATTTGAGGCAGTTGGATGCCGGATGGATACTCGTACAATAGACACAATGTGACCCCTTTCCCCTGGATGATATTGACGATAAGGGGCCGGGTGAGAGTCATAGGCAGTCCGTTGTCAACGCTTGATGATGATATACCGTTGTGATCCCCACAGTATACCCCTCCGAGGCTAATTTTTTTTTTGTCCACAAAGCTCGATGGCAATGATTGGAGCCCGTATCTCTGGGCGTTCAACGGTCTTTTGGGGGTATTGGGGGTATTTTGGGGGTCTCCTAGGATTTTTCTGAGGGCTCGCGCTCGCGCGACCTATCAAACATCGCTGCATCCCTCCCCTTCTATTGTTGGAGGTGGTGGACTGGTGGGTGGGGGGAAATGCTTCAAAGGGAGACGAAAAAGCCCCACTCCTTGATTTTTTTTTTTTTTTCAAACAACCCGAGCCTGTTGATAATAGCTATCAAACCACTACGGATCACAGTTCCTCGCGCGCTCCATCGACGCTAGCACGCGTCCTTTTTTCACCTTTTTTTCCCCAAGTGATACACAAGTTTTTACGGTTTTTTCTTGAATCTCCACTAATCTAGGCGAGTTGATGAATGATTTTGTCGACGTAAATGTGAAATCTTCTGAGGAGATCCAGTGTGCGGAAAATTGAAATCCAATCCCCGGGATTTTTTCGGAGAATTGTGATTGCGGACTCGGTGACGAGCGATCAACTGTGTGAGATAAATTTTTTGAGATAAATCGGGGGAAAAAAATTGGAGAGGATTTGCTGGTGGCTGCGGGTTTGTATGGCACGGATCTTTTGGCATTTTCAATACTCCTCTGAATATTGCCGGAATAATTGTTGAGTTTGATGAGCGTAGGATGAAGGCGGATTTGAGAGACGGTACTTCCTCGGTTAATTAGAATATAGCTGTTTTTTATGAGCGTGGAAGAGGAAGAGGGAACTGATGGGTGAAACATTGTGCTGAGGGTACGGGGGGATCACTTTTGTAGGTGGGTTGACCGATGATCGTGATATTTATTACGTAGAACCCCCCTGCCGGACATGCGTATTTAACGGTCATCCTATCGAAAGAGAAGATTCTTGATTGAGATAGCTTTTTGTGATACGGGTTGTATGTCACTTTATTTGACATTTCAAGATCAGTGCTGAAGAATAGTGAGACGAAATGTTTATTTCGTTATGATATAATAGTGATTTCGAGTCGTGGGGTGGTTTAATTGTCAGGATTTATTGATCAGATCACCTGGGTAAGGACCTAGTGAATTTCTCAACAGGTTGTAAGGCCTTATAGTCTCTTCTGGTCTTGATTAATCGCCGCCGGTAATTATACAATTAATTCATGGACATCAAATTCTTTCAGGCTGCGTTTTTACTGATCAGTTCGGATCTTTTCAATTCTTGAATCCAGTTCATTTGACTTGAGGGGGAATATTATCCCACACAACAGCTGAGTTAAATCTTCTCTTCTGGTTTCTTTGTTAGCAATTCAGGTTTCATTAAAATGTCAGGCACAAAGCCGAGGGGGAGAAATATCCACAGGCTCAGTACACGTTTTAATATCAATAGCAGAGGGACGACCTAGATTGATAGATTGTCAAGACTTTCGTTTCACCCACCCCTCAGCCATCACTTCCAGCTGTCAACTCCAAGATGATGGTCTAATCGTTTCCCGCGCCTTTGCCTTCCGGGTTGAAAATCGGAGAAAACGTTTTGGGATAATGGCAGAGGCTGGCGAGGGAGAAAAAAATATTGATTTCTCCTTTCTTTTTTCTTGGGGTTTTTCGGGTAGAGAACTTATGTGGAATCGTATAAAATCCGTAGGTTCGGTGTTATGACTCGAGGAAATACCCTCGTCTACCTGTAAGGGAACCGGAAATTTCGGAATAAATTCCGTGATAAGGTGAACCCGAGAGATCTGAGGAAATCATTGAGTGAGGTAGTAGGATGGATAAGGAAACACCTGAGAGTTCGAGGGATCCTGAGCTCGCTGAGGCTGAGAATATTGATGAAGTCAGGGCGGCCCTCAATCTCATGTGCGCATCGACAACACCTAAGACGAAAGCACTTCCTGAGAGAGGCACATGGAGCACCAAATTAGATTTTATTCTCAGTGTTGTAAGGCCACATTTCGATTATTATATTCAATAATAATTTTAATATTCATATTGATTAATTATTACTCATATGATTTTTTTACTGAGAAATATCAATCAATATTTTTGCTTCCAATCGGTATCGCTGGAGGTGATTCAATAATCAAGACAAATAATTTTTCCAGGTCGGTCTGGCAATCGGTTTAGGAAATGTCTGGAGATTTCCCTATCTCTGCTACAAGAATGGCGGTGGAGCTTTTCTGATTCCATACTTTTTGGCTCTCATCCTGGCGGGAATTCCAATGTTCTTCATGGAGCTCGCGCTCGGTCAAATGTTGACGATCGGTGGACTTGGGGTTTTCAAAATAGCACCATTATTTAAGGGGATCGGTTATGCTGCTGCAGTGATGTCATGCTGGATGAATGTTTACTATATTGTTATTCTTGCATGGGCCATCTTCTATTTCTTCATCTCAATGCGACGCAGTAATTATTCACCAATAATTCCTGAATGCCTAACACTCTACCAATTAGTCCAATTGTGTCATTAATTATTATTGTCTAGATTTACCATGGGGATCGTGTGACAATCTGTGGAACACGAAATACTGTGTGAATCCCTACGACAGGAGTCGACTCCCCTGTTGGGATCAGATAACCAGGAATAACACGCTCATCAAAATGTGCTCGATCAATCACTTCAACGTTTCTGCTGCCGAACTCACTGATCCCGTGAAAGAATTCTGGGAGTTAGTGCTCATGAAAATTATCAATATCCAATAAATCCAAAAATTATTCAATTTCACGAATAAATTAACTCCCCATCGGAGATAATGTGTTGCCGTTTCACTTTTCGAATACAATTCCATCCAGTTGAGAATCCAATTGAAATTGATATCGATAATTTATCTTTTTCCATTTTCGCAGACGTCGAGCCCTTCAAATCAGTAGTGGGATCGAGCAAGTCGGGACGATACGATGGGAGCTCGCTGGTACTCTCCTGCTTGTATGGATTATGTGCTACTTTTGCATTTGGAAAGGTGTCAAATGGACAGGAAAAGTCGTTTACTTTACATCCCTATTCCCTTACGTGCTCTTAACGATTCTCCTGATACGTGGAATAACTCTGCCAGGGGCTATGGAGGGAATTCGATTCTACGTCAGTCCCAATCTTTCAAAACTGAAAGAATCCGAGGTAAGTGACGATGGTTTCACCAGGGAGTAATCGTGTAATGCACTGCCAATTAATATCCGCATTTTCAAATGCATTCCCATCAGGTTTGGATCGACGCAGTCACCCAAATTTTCTTTTCCTATGGACTTGGTCTGGGGACTCTGGTTGCCCTTGGAAGTTACAACAAATTCTCAAACAATGTTTACAAGGACGCCTTAATCGTTTGCTCAGTGAATTCCTCGACGAGTATGTTTGCGGGTTTCGTTATATTCTCGGTCGTCGGTTTCATGGCCCATGAGCAGCAAAAACCGGTGGCTGAGGTGGCGGCTTCGGGTCCCGGTTTGGCTTTTCTGGCTTATCCATCGGCTGTCCTTCAGCTTCCTGGTGCACCACTTTGGTCCTGTCTATTCTTCTTCATGCTCCTGCTCATTGGACTCGATTCACAATTCTGCACGATGGAGGGATTCATCACTGCCATGGTAGATAAATCCCATCATGGTATTAATTTGCTGAATGGGTGGCATTCAATGATCATGTCTTTCAGGTGGACGAGTGGCCGCAGCTTCTCCGAAGGAGGAAAGAACTGTTTATAGCAATCGTTTGCTTGCTCTCTTATCTCGTTGGTTTGTCTTGCATATCTGAGGGAGGAATGTACGTCTTCCAAATCCTCGACTCTTACGCCGTCTCTGGCTTCTGTCTTCTATTTCTCATCTTCTTCGAGTGCATTGCAATCAGTTGGGCATTCGGTGTCAACCGATTTTACGATGCTATACGTGATATGATTGGATACTATCCACTCGCGTGGTGGAAATTCTGCTGGACATTCACAACACCAATGATCTGCATCGTAAGTACTTCCTCCAAAATTAAAAGGAATAATTGTTGTACTAGAGATCGTCATTTATCCAATTAACTATTTTTGTTTAGGGGGTTTTCTTCTTTAATTTGGTGCAATGGACACCGATCAAATATTTGGATTACGAGTATCCTTGGTGGTCTCATGTTCTCGGATGGTTTACGGCACTCTCTTCGATGCTTTGCATACCTGGTTACATGATTTATAAATGGCAGACGACACCTGGAACCACCGCTCAGGTGAGACCTATGCCTTCGATCTGTTTCACAATCTATAAAATCATATAATCTCAGAAATGTGTTGAAATGCCCATTCTTCAATTTCAGAAATTCAAGTTGCTCATTAGAATAGAAGAGGATGTGCCAAGTTTGCGGGTAAAAATGGGCCTGCCAGCTGTGGAACTAGCACCACTATAGATACGTCAAAATTTTGTTGTTCAAAATTAACTAACCATTGTTTCATAAACAAACGAATGCGCGTTAATTGTGCTCGGTAAGTACGCTCATTCATTGATCTTGTCGGTATCAATGAGTTGAAGTGACGGACGATAAATTCAATAAAATGCGAATATTGAAGGAACAAATACAAACGCGATTACTTACTGGCCTTAGATGACTAGTATAAATAACTGTAGGTTCGATAGTGTTCAGAGAATGATTGAGCGCGACGGCATTTCGACTAGAGACGGAGTAAATCATTATAAAAATTAAATAGCAGTCGTTGCCTGCGTCTAGTATTTCGTGGTTCGAGTTAAGTCGTAGTGGTATGAGATAATGCCCTGGAAAAATAGTTTCAAGTGGTAATTACGTGCAAATAGAACGACAGAAGTTAAAAAAAAATGATAAATCATTTTATCCCATATATAAATTATTGTCGATCATTGCCCTCTGTTATATTTATAAATAATTGTGAATATGTTAAATCAATCACTATCTAACTACATTCCTTAGTCAATACTCTATTTATTTTTTTTCCGAATATCTCGATTTGTATTTTTATCGTTTCGTACGTATCTTGAATTTTTTTAATCGCAATAACAAGTAATTTTTTTTTTGTGTAATCCGAATATATCCGAGATCTAGTTAATGAATTAATGTGAATCATCATTGTGTATCAAAAATTGAATAAATACTGTTTAATGGAAAATTTTGTCATTTTTTTGAAGACAGAAAATCCACACCTATATATTTGTAGAAAAATTCATCTTTATTCGTAAAATTTGAATTTTCTCATGTTACAAAGATAAAAAATCGTAATCGTTTGGTTTTTTTTCTACAAGAATGTAGAAATACATGGACAAAGAGAGTAATATCATCTTAATAAATTTGCACAAATCATCGTCTTCGTATTTATAAAATTTCACAATTTACAGATTTTACACAACGTATTTTCACTTCACGCATCTGTGTCAGTTTATAAACTCTCCAAATTTATGGAGTCATTTCAATAACATTGTGCATTTATTTTCATCAGAAAGCCATTATCATACATAATTATCTTTGCTGCATGTGATGCATCATGACGGAATCATCATTTATACAGTACCAAGTATAAAATCCGCGATAAAATATGTATAATTCATCTCGGCACGTATGGACGGAAAATTAGTTGCGCCTGAGGACAACATAAAAAAGAACTATAATTACACTATTAAAACTGCTAAGCGATAAAAAAAGTAATCACTGTTAATTGAACGGAGATGAACAAATGAAAAAATTCAGATCTATTGTTTTGGCTGGAATACTCGTTAGACGAGGGAAAAAATGTCTTTGAGAAAGATGGACCTACCCTGAGATTTGATTCCCTCCTTAAAATATCAAACTACTTGAGATATTCAATAAAATAAAAATCGTAAGAACACATCAATTATTGTTGTCTCAAAATAAAATGTCAAGCATTTTTTACCAATATAAAAAATACGTCCTCATTACTTAAAAATTAATCAGACCTCCAGTTAAGCAAGGCCTAATCTCCACAAGAGTATAATTACACAAATCCCCAAGGTGGAGTCTAAAATTTTATTGCTCGCAGCGTTTCTGAAAAGTGACAGATCCCCCATTTGGAATGTATTGGGTGGACTGGACATTCTTCCGTCACCACCCCTGCTGAATCCAAGAACCCGAAGATTGTATGTTTTACCTGGGCTCAAATTATAAATATATCCTTCTAATTTTCCAACAGCAGAAATAATAGTATCATTAGCTGTGCTCATATCCTGATCAATCTCCCAGACACGTATTTTGTAGCCATCGAGTGGCTCCTCATCGAGACTCGGTTGCACATATCTCCACACAACCCTGATCGTCGAAGGATTGATATCATAAACGAATACTGAGCTTGGTGGATTCTGTGGTGCTTTCCTGAATGTTCTCTCCCTGTATCTTTCACTTTCAGGTCCAGCCCCAGCTGAATTATAAGCCATTACCTTGACGTAGTACAGAGTATCGGGCTGCAGACCGACGATAAGAGCCCAAGGCCTAGTAGTTCTCGAAAGATAATAAACTCCAAGCTCCTCCTGCCCATTGACCGGCCAATACTTGAGTCTGTAACCTATCAACCTACCTCTGACCATTTCTCGCGTTTCGTCCATTGGTATCCAAGAGACATTCAAACATGTACTGTTATAACCCAGAGCGGAAATCCTCTGTGGCTGCACCTGCGGCATATCCTCAGCACTGAAGATTGTTGCTATCTCAGACATTGGACCTCTTCCGGCTTCGTTGAACACTTCAACCTGCACTTCGTACTCAGTATAATAATACTTCTTGTCGATTTGAACCACAGCCATACCAACGTCACCATAATCTTTCAGATTAAGAGACTGAAATTCTAGGTCTCCCTTGCGACGCCAGTAGACTTTGTAGTAAATTCCACGTCCATTCTGATCAGCTGGTGGTAGTGGCTCCCAAGTTATCGTCAAATCACCAAGTTTACCACCTCCTCCACCAACCCTCGATGGAGCTTTCGTTGGCTTGTCGGGGGGTGTACTGAACTGCGGTGATGGCGAAGACAGAGGACCGTAACCGTATTCGTTAGCAGAAGATACAGCAAACTCGTACGTTGTGTAGGGATTGAGAACGTTTTCCAAATAAGCGCGTTTACGACCGGTGTATCTGTCGATGTCTTCAGCTGTTATGTTCTCCGATACGTTGAACCACTTGTTCGTCCATTTAGTTCTAGCTGCCACTGTGTACATGATAATTGGTCGTCCATTGAACGCACCGTCTGTCCATTCGAGAGTGGCTGATATTTTTCCAACGTCCACCACGGATACTCCACCTGGGGGTCCTGGGGGGCCCCTCACTGTTAGGGTTGTGTGAGTTGAGACGTCTCCCACTGCACTCTTTATCGTGCACTCGTATTCACCAGCATCGGCGAGGGTGATGTTGATGATGTTGAAGATGCCACCGTCGATTTGAAGACGAGGGTTGTCCTGCAAGTCTTTATCGCGAATCGCTATGCCATTGTGCTTCCAGATGTAGGCAATATCCAGCATTTGGTCTGTGTCTGCTTGACAGCGGAGGGTCTGGTTCTCCATCACAGCGGTGATCAGCCGCTCGGGCAGGGTTTCGATGAGGCTTGGACCTCGTAATACAATGAGTCGTCCTCGCGTTTCATCATTTCCATACTGATTGCTAGCAGTGCAAACATAAGTCCCTTCATCATCGCGGGATACTGGACTGATAATTAAATTGCCATTAGCCAGTATTCTTCTATGTCCACCAGCCCCTATGATATTTCCATCTTTTTTCCAAATAAATTTAGGTCTCGGTGCCGCTTCTGGATTGCACACGATCGTGACATTTCCTCGGTTAGCGGCATAAGTCTCTGACTCCATCGGGTGTTTTTTGAAAGATGGTTTCATCGCTGCGAAAACAAGTTAATTCGTACATGGCAAATGAATGAAAGCGAGACTAAAATAAAAATGGAATGGTAAAAAATCGATTGAAGATAAATTTTTAATACTTACACAAAACCCTCAATTGTGCCGAAGAGTAAGTTGTCTTGAGCTGATTTTTAGCTCGACACTGATACATCCCAGCATCTTCCTCCTCTACCTTCATTATTTTCAACACATTATCCTGAATCAAGTACCTATCTCTCTCATCACCCCGGAGAGTAGTATTATCCAACAGCTGTCCATTCCTAAACCAATGATACGTGACATCGGGATTTCCATAAGCTTCACAGGTCCAAGTGAGATCAGACCTCAAGTCTACATGTCTATCCTCCAAAGGAATGGTGAAATTGGGATTGGCTTGAATAGTCAGCCAAACTGAATGCTCAATGGAAGCCCTCTCATTAAAAGGTCGGCAAACATACTCCCCCTGATCCTCAACCCTAACTCGAGGAATGACAAGTACCCTGTTGAAACTCAAAAAAACAGCACTTCTAGGCAGCGGAGCACCCCTTCTCGTCCAATTGTACGATGGTACTGGATACCCAAAAGCAATGCATTCCATTCTCACTTCCTCACCAGCAATGGGTGCCTCCGGGAAAACTTTGGGGAAACTATTCGCAAATTTCAACTGCTGAAACGACGAATGAGGATTAACCCGGAGTGGAAAAAACGGTCCATTTCTCCCAGTGTCGGATGCTGTACTCTGAACATTGCAGGAGTAATTTCCCCTGTCGATGGGCTCCAACGCCGAGAAGTAAAGTGCACCATCATTCGACACAAATACTCTCTTGTCTTCCTCGACAAAATTGGGAAAGTAGTCACGTGCCCAATAGTACTTGACCCCTGGATAATGCTGAGGTGGATCACAATACACCGCTTTTCCCCAATTCTGATCCCCCGATTCCTCAGACCTCTTAAGATTGAAATCCAGAATGTAGCCAAACGATAGTACAACAGTTTCAGACATAATCACACCGTATTTATTGCTGGCTTTGCAGTGATATGCGCCTCGATCCTCGGTTTGATCAGGATTGTAGATAATCAGATTACCTCCACTGAGAGTATACCTGGGTTTCTGCAAGGGATCAATTGGCGTTGCAAAGAGTCTCGCGTTGTCATAATCCTCTTTGAACCATTCATAGGTCGGTGTGGGATATCCCCAAGCAAGACAGCTCAATGTAACCTCATTGGTGAGCTTTCTTTTAGAAACGTCAAAGACCTTGCTGACAGGCTGTTTGATAAAGTAAGGCCCTCGTGGAATCTCCCTGGGATTATCTATTTCAATTCCATATGTGTAATCACGATCATCCTCGGCTAGATCATGCAGCATCCCGATTTGTGCCTCGCAGATATACAGCAGGGGTTGGTAAGACGATACCTTCTCCAATCCCCAACGCTTCAAGCTGTCACTGAAGTTGTAGGAAAGTGCATCACGCTGCAGGCTCAGGCCGTCATTGGGCTCCGGAAGGAAAGCGTTTTCCATGTTGACGAGTTGAGATCCATCCGCTTCGTTTGACCAATAGCCTCCTGCCTGTCTCGCACCAGTGTACCATGATCTGTGCTGAGGGTCTTGCCATTGGAGTTGATGGAGAATGAAGCCATGCTCTTCGACTGAGTTTATGCCAACCAAGTCACTCTGATATGCCTGGCAATTGCGTCTAGCATCATCTCGGTTACGCATGGGGCTCTTTATGAAGCGGTAACAGGAGTCTTGAAATCTTATCCAGTGCTTGGGGCATTTGTGCTCGATCTCACCGTAGTAATAGGTCTGTCCTCCACTTCGGGAGCTTGTACCCCAGTTTAGCTGGGGATTGCTCCAAGCGCTCTGGGGCTGATAGTTGAATGAGCTCTGGGGTTGATTCGGCTGGGGAATCTGCTGTGGATCGGTCCACGTACCTGATTGTTGGTTATTCCAGGGCTTCGATTGCTGATTGTTCCCACTGTTCGATTGTTGATTAACCCAGGGTGGTTGTTGAGTTACCTCCTGGCCATTTATTGTGATTGTTGCAGTGAGCAATACGGCTAATAGGTAGGCACGATTCATCGTGCTCTTTTCCATCTTAAAACAAAATCACGGACTCGGATTTTTATCAGGCACTTTTGGGTGTGAATGCGCGCGATGATGAATGAAATGTTTTGAGAATTACTCATTGAGTCATGGCATAATTGTGTTGATCGGAGTAGGGAGGAGATAGGGAGTGGTCAGTGTATTATAATCTTAGAGATCTGTGGAATATCATATGCATTTTTTTTAACAGAATGAAATAATTTTTTTGTAGTTTTAGGGATTAGAAGCTTTTGTTACACTTACCTGGATTTTTAATCAGTCAAATTGCGTTATTTTTTGGGAGAATCACGGAAATAAACAACACTCATTACGCGGTTATGCTTGGCACTCTTTCCATTGGACAATTGTTATTATAGGTGGCACTACTGGAGGCACAGGTGCAGCTATGATTTTTGGTTTCTTTTTATGGTAGACCTGGAAAATTTAATTTTCCTCCCGAGTACCGCAAGAATTCAAAATACTCAATATTTTTTCGCTTCTTCTGTAAATAATTATTCCGTGGATTTTCGGCGGTCAATTTTGGAAATTAGTTTATAAAGATTTGAAAAGAATTATAAATTTTTGGAGTTGTTGAAAAATATTTTATAGAATTCATGCCACCTCTCATTAAATGACTGAGGTATTACGTCATCATTACTGCAGACTTATACTGAGTGATTAAGTACCGAGTAATTAAAATCGAGTAAAAATATTAGGCGTCACCATTATCTTGAGCTTTAAAAAACGTTTAGCTTTTGAAGTGCCAGGAATGAACGATGCCGAGTCGTAATGACACATCGATAAATATGATCAATGTATGTCATTATTCTCAGTCAAAACACATTTACTCATCTCGCAATTACTCTATCTCTACAGCATACGATATGAACTGGGCGATTAACCCGATCAACGTTTCCCCTTCGAATTATGTTCACTTTCTTGATAAAACGTATGAAATATTCTTCGTATTCCGATCAAAGTGAAAACGGAGCAGTGAAATTAGTTACAACAAACGGAAGACTTTCATTTACTCTCAAGACTCGGTTAAACATGAAGATTACCGTATTAAGGTGCTCTATTCCTGCTTCAATTTCGTACGGAGAATTCACTTTGGAAATTCACCCAGAACAATCGACATTTTCCTGACTGTGAACTAACGGATGCTTAATAGTGTCAACGGAATTATTAAATTGTGAAACATTCGAATATTTCATACGTCTATTTAATTCTAAATACCCACCGACATGGGTACATGCACTTCATGAGGCGTTAATTACGTAACGAGATCCCACGTGCGGGAGTCCTCGGAGATATAAACAAAGTTGAATAGAAAAGACATTTAATAATTTACGCATGAGCTCCATGTCTTGTGCCAAGGAATTCTTCTCCTGAGTTTCATGAATGCAAATCAATTGAATTTCCGCGCCACACAATATATTGATAATCACCTTGAGGGATGAATAAATAATTCTATATCAGCGATTTTTACAAGTTTCCGATGATCGAGCTTTAAAATTCCCATTGATCCATCGAAATTAGGTAATTCTACATAATTGCAAAAATAATTCTAAAAAAATCAAAAGGTTTATTGATAATTTCTGGGATGATGTCATCCGGGATATATTCACAGCTGCGATTATACGTCTATTGAAATATTTCAAATCGGGTTTTGAGTACTTATACGCAAGATAATGAGACGACGGGACAACTATGTATTGGCAAGTCTATACATCATTATTATTTGATGTGGAATAATTAAAGATTCCTCTCTAGCTCCTGACAACGTCATCTCCAAGGTCTCCACTTCCTCCATCGCAAGATCAACACACACAGTTTATTTGCGTGCATCTCTAGCGACTGTGTGTTAAGAAATTGTCCCTGACTAGTGAGAACGGTTTTTAAATAAATCGAGTATCGATTGGTCCACGGGTGATTGCTGATGACTCATGCAAACGTCTCTGATGAACGTGTAAAATTCGAATTTAATTGAAATTTATTATTGCCGGATATTTTAATGAGCCCTTCGAAATTCCAATTCAGATTTTTACTGCGAAAGGAGCAAAAGAATAGTTTTAATCCACCCAACATTTTTTTTTTTCAATTGTAACGTTTCTGGGTCGAATGACGTCAATTGGTAGGAGTCTGTAAACACTTTCCAAGAGTAATTGAAATTATTTTCTTCATTTTCGCAGCTAAAGACGATAATGAAAAATAATTTATCATCTCCGAATGTGTCAACAAGCGACTAAAATTACAAAGAATTTCGTCATTTGAGGTTGCACAATGAATGAGAATTTTACCAAAAAAAATTTTTCTAAATTGCAATCTACATACTACATCTTTCCCAAAAATTATCAATAAATGTTGCATAAAATCTAATTTCCTGGGGACAGTAGATCTATTAGAATCATTTTTCAACCAAAGACAATGACAATCTCCTGCCATAATAGACATTCTTCTCTTAATTCCCCATAACCCATTCTCATACTGCCAGAGTCTCTCCAGACATAAAACCGCAAATTTTCTTGTGGAGATAAACAGTTATGTCATTACTCCGCCATGTGTTAATTTAACTCAATTTGCATGAGAATGATTTTTTTTGGTGTGAACGTATTTATTTTCGGTAGTCGCGATTAAAATTTTAGAGGACATTATGACTGAAATTTCAGAGTGATGGATTTTCAACGATTTAATTGACGGCATGATATCCGTCAGGGGCTCAGACCAGTGGCTTTGGAATATTCAAGAGGGATAGAAGAGAGCAAAAAACACTTAATGGAATGCGAGTTAGAAATGGCTTGAGAGACTCCAGACACGTACAGGGAATACCGTTCAATGGATGATATGAATACTACTTCCTCTATTTCGATTGATCAACTCTGGGTCTCTGTAAGGCCTCAAGGCCAGTAGGCTAGTACTATTTCTGTCTTACTTAAGATCATACGACGACCCCATGACGAGACCTTCTCCCCTCGCAATACAAACTCATGTGCACCCCACCCCCCATTGACTATTGCTTCATTATTTTGCAACCCCACAGTGTGCAATCACCCATCGCCCCATTTCCGCACACTTTGAAGCTGGAAAATTATTGCCCTCCACGTGAAAATAAAAATTTTGTTTTGTATTCACTCGTTGTTAGAAAAATGGGAAATAAATTATTTCAAAATTAAAATTTTTAAATATGCGAAACGAAAAACGTAAATTCTACTAAAACTCGATGTAAATTGATGATCAATCCACGTTCACGCGGACATTAAACATCCCATCTTAATCCAATAAGACCTCAAAACGTCAAGAGCCAAAAGGGTTGTTGCATGTCCAGAGTCACGTGTTCGATACATCACCTCGTGTATGACTGCAGTAAATTTACACATAAACTCTTCAAAATTGCATTGCCAACACTATTGCGACTCCGTGCCTTCAATTTCCGTCAATTGTGCGTCACAACGACCCAATTCAATAAACAAAAATGGCATTCAAATGTTATTACTCGCATTGAACAAACCGTTGGAATGATTTTCACGAATTGCTGGATAATTCACCCGTCATTTCGTAAAATTCAACTCTATGAAATTACAGAACTTCCTGACAACAACTGAATTTATTACCGAATAGTTAAATTCAAAGAGAATAACAATTGTCCCTCGTTATTTTCTCATGTCACTCTATCTCGTTAATAATCGTCACCGACGATGAGAAATTATTTTTAAGAATATAGTCACGCTCACGCAGTGATCACGCAGCTCAATCACGCCCGTGCACACCGTTTTTCTGAATAGAATGCAGGGAATCTTTCTGGGTGGAGAAAAAAAAAAAAGAGAAAATGTGTTTATTAAACTGAGCGGGAAGTATCCACGGTCATTCGCCCATTCGTGATTCGCATAATCGCATTAACGAGTGACAGTACTAACCGCCTATGCGTGCTTCATTTGAATGCCTTCCCCTCGGTTCTCTTCAACAACGAATCATTTTTTTTCCCTATTTATTGTCCTTCCTGGTGGCCCGTTACGCATGCAACAAATATTTCAAACGCACGTACGCACTGTTAATGCCCGACGAGAGATGACAGAGAGAGAAGTACATTATGTCATAAATTGCGAGGAGACCATTCAGCTGTGTGAGTCATACTGCGTAATCTTTTCATCGTTCTTCTCCCCTGAATGACGTTGAGACTTGATGGACCATGGGGTCACTATGATACCATCTCCGAGGGAAGGTGAACACTTTTTCGTTAATTTTCCAGGGGGAGATCAATGGGGATAATAATAAAAAAATATTTGGAAATGGGAATACATAAATAGTCCGTGATTACAGTGAATTTGACTGTAACTATTCAGCAAACGTCATCGCATTATTTCAAATAGAAGTTCTGTCTAAATAAATCGATGGCATCATCCATTTTTTCGATTCGTCATTGCCGAATTATTTCTATTAATATTCTGATAATCCCTGATTTTTTATCTCAATTTCCATTTTCATTGTCAACTTGATTATCTGAAACTCTGTCTAATCCGAATTTGATGTCCATTGACCTAATTCATGATTCCTCTTTTATCCCCATTTGTTTAAGCTCCTCTTTTCCGTGTCGCATACTCTAAATTTATTTCCTACATCTCTCTCTCTGAATTCTATTTCAGTTGAGCACAGTTCAGCTGACGTTGTTTCGGTTAGTGTGCCAGTAGGAAATGGGATGTGAGGGTGCGGCCTTTTCCTACATGAAATAGGATGAGTAGAGCCTTTCCCATTGGGTGATTTTAAATGCATTATACCTTCCATTGTAGCGAGCAGGCCAACAATCTGCACATGCTTGCTTTCATTTTCAATTGATGAGAATTAATTCACCTGAGGGAAGAATGAGCTCATGGATTGGACAACTGTTGACTCAATCCACTCAATGATCCAGTGATAACATCAGCATAAAGATCATCCATTAAGTAATTAGTGAGAGCACACACGAGGAAAATGGCTTTAAATATAATTAAATTTGTACCCACGACATTATGAGGGAGATTTATTTACCCGCAGCAAATATCTTTCATCATCATCGCTCTCTCGTATTAAACATCGAGTTTACTCGCCTCTAGGGAATTCTTTTCGGTTCAGAAGGTCGGCGATAAACTTTTAATTTTCAAGAAATATGGGTCGACGAAATTCACGCTTTGTAGAATCCATTTGATTTCCCTTCATCTCGATACAACCGCCTCGCTATATTGTGCAGTAAATTTTACGGGATACGTGAGAGAATGTGACTTTTTCGCATCAAAACGCCCGACGCATGCACTAGAACCAGAAGTACTCGATCCTTTATTGGTTAATTGGAGAATAAATTGAGTCAGTGTACGGGGGCTTACGGTAGCTATACAGCTGTCAAAATTTTGCCCTTTAATTCATCGCGTCGTAGGAGCTATGATTGAAATTTCGCGCTATAGTCATTGTTATTGTTTTTTTCAGGAATGTGAGATGAATGTCAAGGCTTTTTTCAGTTTCAGGGTTAAATTCGTCGTAATCGAGGCGATGAATAATTGCAGGGCTCAAGGTTTTTCCTGGATGAATGATATTCATGAGAATTGGCGGAAATTTAGACGATGAATTCACGTTGTAAAAAGAGTTGAGTCAGTGAAGGCATCGGGCGAAGTGGTTACAATTATTACATGAGATTGATGATTCATTAGGTATGAGTTTATATTAAAAAATCAATTTTCTTGCCAGCAAAATCTACAAAATTCTCAAGGGCAATTTTCTATTTATATTATACGAATCCAAATTAAAAATGGTCTCAACATTGTGAGCACTGGCGTCACAACATCCCATTCCATCCATTCAAGAGATTATCACGACCCGAAAAAAACACGTCGACTCTAGCATTTAAATTTTCTATTCAATTGCTAATGACACGACAATTCCAAGGTTGATATTACCTTAAACACGATAAAATTCGTGGGTTGGGGCAAAAATCACTGGGTCAAGGAGTCACCCCCTGGACTGGAATTAAGCCCTCAAGAATCTCTACTATAAATAAACCTCATATCTGTAACTTCGTCACGAGGGAATTGCCATCAGAAATATTGCTTACAACGTGACTTCATCGAGGGGTAAAAATCGAGGCAAAAATTGAGGCAAAAATTAAATGACAACGCAAACAATAAAAACAGTGAATTCCATCCATATTAGTTCAAACAACCGAACGGAAAATTAAAGCATTGCGTCATTTTACATTGATGTAACGATTCTAAAATATCCATTCCTACAATCTATCCATCCCACTGACTTATGCATAACCATTTCCTTGAGAATACTTGTATTTCAAATTAGTCAACAGATGAGGACGGAGAAATTTTCCTCATTGTCAGTCTCTATAATATTTATTGACGCATCGTTTTTTATTTATTTTCACTCCATACCAGTCATGAGGCAGTCCGCATAAACAGGGAGAACTCAATCATCATAAATTGTGCCATAAATCTCCTCACAATAATGCGTAATAAAATTAGACGAGATTTATCTGACGTTGTTTGCATTGTCGGAAGGGTCATGAAGGCCCTTGGCACAATTTCACGATGTGAGTTCATTCCTCCGGTGTTACCAAACCCTAACTAGAAAAATAATAATCATTCAGCCGAACGTCAAGGTGGAGTGGGTGGACAAACGGACTTTATGAGTCTCCCAATGAAATCAATAGTCTAATACGGCATCCCTGGGATAATGAAGAGATTAAATCACTGATTTCTTGTTGAAAACCTATGCAATATTCACGTACATCACACTGTACAAATCCACCCCTTTTCTATCGGGAGAATTGACTAACAAAATTCAATGCAATGAGAAAGACCGAGAATTTCTTTGTGCGGATCTCTTTGAATCTCACAGGTTGAGGAATTTCCCCTTCTCCTCTTTTCAATCCCTTACAATAATCGAGATGGATAATTGAACAGATGCCGCACCCGTCTCATTTATTTACCCTAGACAAATGAAAAAAAAAATTCTAAACCTTCACAAGAGGCACCTTTTTCCTAGCTAAAATTTATGTGAAACGAAAAGTGAAATCGTCCTCGGTAACGCGACCCCGAAGTCTCACGTTTTACATGAAACAGCTTGTCTTAAACATTAAGTAACAAAAAAAAATTCCTCACACAAATCTATGAATTCTATCTGCGTGTGTCACGTTAAACCTCAGAAATCCATCTGCGTCTGGTTATTTAAAATAAATATTTATCTTTTGCCGCCTATAAATTTCGGTAAAAAAGGCCGAAATAAGGATGTCATCTCGCAATTGGGTGAGTTGTTACATAATTCAACCGAAACTTTTATCACGACGTCAACGAAATATGGAAAACAGAAAACAGTAAAAGCATCGGGTACCCAAAACTCATCTAAACGCTAAACATTGAAATGGCCTGAACAAAGAGGGAAGAAACAGGGGGCGATGAAGGGGGAATTGCTTAGCAGATGGATGCGTGGGGGAAAAGTTGGAGGACGCCTCGTTGCGTGCACTGTTGCCTCCATCGTCAGTCAAAACGCATCCGTTCGACGCTATGGACCGTCCATCTAAACTAGCTTGAAAAAGAATTTCTGGATTTAAACTCATACGAGCCGGTGACGCGAAATTGTTGGCGCAAGCCCACCACCCGGTTGAATAAGAGCACGCGGTTAAGAATAGCGCGGAACAGTCTTCGATTTTCAAACACTCCCAAAAATTTGTACTACCTAAATCTCAACATAACTAGGTGAAAAAAAAACGTGTCAGTGACCGAGTGATTATAATATCCCATATTACCCCAGTAGTTCTGATAGTTCATTGAAGATGATGATGATAACGGGAATTCTGCTGGGATGTTTGGCAGCGGTGACAGCCGCGCCGAATCAGTTCGGGGAGAAATTTCAATTCAACGTGACGGACATCGCGTGGCCCTCGGACGAAATAAAAACTCAAGTGTTTGATAAAAATGAGTATATACCGGTGAATAACGCGATAGCTGGTATCAAGGTATGGAAAGGTATGATGTACTTGACGGTCCCCAGGTGGAAGCCGGGGGTGCCAGTTACCCTGGGGTTCATACCAGCGGAATTGATTATGAGGGATATCCCACCGAAGCTACATGCTTATCCCAATTGGGACATGCAAACTGTTGGAGACTGCAGGGCTTTCCAATTTGTCCAGAGTATGGAGATCGATCCAAAGGGACGCATGTGGGTCCTGGACACCGGAAGAACCGAGACGATGACCACAGAGCCCAAAGCACGGTGCAATCCTCGACTGGTGATTTTAGATCTCGAGAATAATGGGGCTGTGTTGCGGAGTATTCCTTTTCCAGAAAGCGTCACTCCACATAATGAGTCCTATCTGAATGACATTGTCCTTGATAGCACTGACGGAGGATTCGCCTACATCTCCGATACGAACGATCGTGATCCTGGGATTATTGTTTTCTCTCTTGAGAAGAACAGATCGTGGAAGGTGCGACACGACTCCATGAAGAAGCAGAAGGAGGCGGAGGACTTTTTCATCGGGGAGCAGAGAGTCATCAAGGGTATTCCAATTGATGGTATCGCACTATCCCAGCTTGACGCCAATGAGAGATTTCTTTACTACTGTCCCCTGTCATCTTATCACCTGTATTCAGTGAGCACTGCTGGGCTGAAGGACGAGGACATCTCAAATATTGATCCGTACATTCGAGATGTTGGGAGAAAAAGTTCACAGACTGATGGAATGATAATGTCCGCAAATGGAACTCTGTACTTCGGTCTTCTCGCTGATGATGCTGTCGCACTCTGGGACTCACAGAGGGACTTGTCTTTTACTACTGGCCAGAGGATCATTGCTAGGGATCACGTGAGAATGCAGTGGCCTGATAGCTTCGCCATCGATGACAAGGGCTATCTCTGGTGCACCACCAACGCACTTCACAACTTCATGCACAATAAAATCGATCCCAGACAGGTTAATTACAGGATAGTGCGGGCGTACATCGAAAATTTGAGTTATCAGTATCACGAGAATGGCACGACACCCGAATTGCCGATCATCATCGCCGGTGCTGGTGATCGGCTTCCCATGGCTATTGGCACGTTCATCTTTTTTATTCTCGCAATTGCTCTGCAGTAAATACTGTTTAATATTGTCGATCTTATGTGGGATGGGTGTTGAACAATCGATGCACTTCGGTTCTAGCTTTAAATAGTTTTTAAGGGTTTCCGTGGATATGAGTACGAGTACGAGAACAATGTTCGATATTTTTGCAGTTTTATGCAAAAGATTGATTATTTTTCGAGAGCAGTGAGGGATGGGCTGAGGTGATGAAGAAAATTTTCCATGGTGAAGAGAAGTGAAATTTTCTTCTCATTACCTCTTGGAAAAATGAAAAATGAGAGTGCAAATGCAAGTATTTTAATTTCTCCCGTGGTTATGGAACGAAGAAATAATTCTCTTCATTTCAAAACGGGAGGTCGAATTATTTGGCCATGTGGTACTCTTGAATATCCCATTACCCATTCATCAACGCTACTCATTATCCAAATATGCAGAGATTGAAATTTTATGGAACAATAAACCTCGAGGTACTTCATAACTACGGTCTATTCAGTCCCCGGAAGGTAATTGAAAGGAAAAAAAATATAATTGTCACTATTTATTAAGAATTGTGCATTTAAATACTATCCGCGGTTGTTAAATGTGCCTTCAGTGTAAAAATATCTGTCGACTGAACAATCGAAAAATGTAAACACGTCACAAATTATTTCATCCAAAATAAGGTAATGTCTAGTGTATAAAAAAATAATTACAACGTGAAATTTTGTCATAACGCGGAATAATCGCTTGTCGACAAATAATCACTTGATTAATTTCCTCAGTGGCACCTAAAGAGTAAATGTACCAATGATGGCTATTGTATAAGACGCGATCAATTTACTTGAGAAGACAATTGATTGATCTAAGGTTAATTCACCATATACTGTGGACCGTAGAAGACACAGATGAATGGAGAAATATGGGAGAAACAAAAAGGAAATTATAAAAAAAATAGTGTCCAGTATGTTCCCACAATTGTTAATGCTTTTGTAGTACAGTGCACGTAGCCGCGACAACGTACAATGGATTTCGTCCTAGTTTTGAGGTACACACAAAACGCACACTAAATAATATCATTGCGTTACCCGAGCCAGAGTACAACTGCACGTTCTAAATTATTCTGATGTCTAGTGTCACGAAAATAAACAGTACCGGTGGTTTCCCATGTGCTCATGTCGCCCAAATTTGAATGATTTTAAAGATAATGTACCTGATCACAATCCCTCAATATCCTCGTCACCCCACACCCTCATATCTGCTTTTTAGGTAAATCCACCCTTAACTCTGATTTAACATTCTAGTAACTGCAATAATAATTTTCAATCGGCGTTTCTATCGTTTTTTTTTTAATTCGAACAATGAGTCATCGTATAAAAAAAATGCGGGAATAATGGATTGTGTCATTGGTTGGTAAATGGAAGAATGGAATATTTTTTTATGTCAAGAACATGAATTCATGGATATTATCTGATGCGAGAGAGATCTCTGGTTATATTGAAGATGAAAATCTTAATGCGATTCTACTGTAATTTCTCACAATCATTTCTTCAGTTGCATTTGCAATAATAATTTGGTGTCTGAAGATGATGGAGATTGTCAACGATTAAAAGCGTTAAAATTGTGTGTCTTTCGATTGGTGATGTTACAAGGCTCTATGGAAATTCTGATAGAATATTGAAATTCGCGAGTTTGCATTGAAAAATACCAACGGAAAATGAATCATCGGTAACACACCTTAGTCATGATCTTGTTTTTCTTATTATTTTTTCCTCATCGCAAAATGCAAGGTGATATAAAAAGCAGATATACCTGCTCAGATCGACGGTGTATCCATTAAGATTTTCTGTCCTCAATTGACTAGATCATTGTGCTGGTAAGCTTAAAGTCTTGTAGTATTATGTTTTAACACAATACCCTTTCTGGTAAATTTTAGAGACCGGGTACTTGATGTACACCGTTTATAGAAATATCTTGTAAAATTTTATGGAACTAGAGCAGCCTTCATCTCGCGAGCATATAATTATTAAAATAGCCTTCAATCGAAATTCTGCAGACGGCGTGTCGACTAAGCTTTCGCATTTTTAATTATTCAATATTTGAATTCCATAATCAGAAAATTTTCAATGTCAACTCTGCCAGTTTCCTCATACAATTTTCCTCCAATCCATGACGCATAGAAAATTAAATCGAATTAATACCTTTCAACAATAATTTACTGAATCTCCAGGAAGTGATGGCTGAATCGACATGACATTTTCTTAATATATTTTATACGAGATGAAATGAAACTATATTAATGTGGCCGCATTAAATATATACTCGATTGTCAATCAACGAACGTCAGTGAAATTCATTTGAGAAACGATATGAAATTCCTGAAAAATGTTTCATCACCCACACGCAACCCTAATTGATGGAATCATTTGTTCCTGAATTTACTGGCGTTCCGCGAGGGAAGTCGTACGATTCATGTAAAAATTGAGTGTAATATTCCAATGGATAAGTTATCACGAATAAATAAATAGATGAGTAATGTATAAATCCTCTCCCTTTGAGAAAGATCTGTCTACATACCAGCACCGACGACTCTTGACGACATGTTTTTAATCCAAAGCAATGAGGCCACTAGCAATGACCTGTTGACCTCGCCATATGCACTTTTCACTTTATTCCACATTATTCCACATTATTTCACATTGATTGATTTGCCTTTTTCACTGAAAACTATCACAAAATATCACAACACATACACATACACTGAGAAAGAAAATTTCTCCACCAAAATATTTATTTTCCACCACTGAATCGACTCTCATTTTTTTCAATACAGCAAAACACAATTTAATTACCTTTTAATACCCTAGATTAAACTTCCGATATGCACTTTTTCACTTCACGGGTAGACGATAACTCTATTTCTCTTTTCAACGGGTTTTTAGCGGTTGATTGGTATTTTTATTCGAGATATTTATCAAAAACCGAGAGCAAAACGTTCGCGACGCAGCCCCTTTCACGACATTGTCTATTTCCAGGAATCCGGAAAGAACCCAAGATGCATCGCTTCACGATTTTTTATTTTTCAATCTCTTCTTCTTTGTTCCGGTTTATTGTCAGTCCCGGTGTTTTATGTCCAAAAAATAATGCCATTTTTTTTGTCATGTTCAAATACCTCATTCTAACTCTGGAGTTGATTATTGCCAAAATATTTGTCGATGAAAAACGCGGGAAGCCAAACTTCTCCCCCCCCCACTTCCAGCGGCCGATTCGGTTCTTTGTTTTGAGGCTTGACCGTTGTTTTTTTTGATTAGTTCCGTTTATTTGAATTTCTCGGGTGGGGACACCATCGACGCGACTCTCGCGCCGTCTCACCGGGAAATTATATAGTTATTTTAAAAACAAATATGGCATTGACATATAAATAAAGTGTTTGCAGCCGAGATATTCATTTTATTACGTGATTAATCATTTCAAATGGACTAGTGGCCAATAAATATTTGTGTTAATAAAATCGATTGCTGGTGATTTTATCTACGTTCGTCTCTCTAGTTCTCCTTCGAAATTTGGAAGTATAATGAGGTTATAACGACTGCGACTGTATTCTCAGAAAAATCACTGAGTAAAATTCATGGACGAAGAAGAAATTTCTATTACTCATCGAAATGTCGCTTTTTCCTGCCTATGAAATCAGTGCTCCCTCGCAATCATCTGACGTTGACATTGGCGAGAGCAGAAATGATGCAATCTGGTTGAAGAACTCTAGCTTCCAGCCCGATATAATCTCTGGGTCTCGAGAAATATCGGTTTCCTCGGAGTCCTCGGATGGCGAGTTCTCCGGAATTCCAGGGGAAAAAATCACTGCAGTGGTGGATGTCGAGGAAATTCCTCACGACTCACCTCCTTTAAAGAAGCACAAGAAGTCAAAGAAACACAGGTCCAATAAGAATACAAAGGGAAAAATGAAGTATGAGCCAGTGGTTGACAATGTTTACTATGATGACAGAATTAGAGACAGGGGAAATTTTAAAGTGGACACACTGTGCTCACGAGCGAGGCCTCTGTACACCGTCTTCTACAAAACTCTAGGATTCATCCCTTTCACGCACAAGAAAAAATCGCCCTTACCTCGATACTTCGCCATTTCTTCTGATACACCCCAAAAATCCTCGAAGGTTTCTTCAAAGAAATTGAAAGATGCCACCGAACAATCCCTAGACATCGTCAGAACTCCTGAACAAATTAAAGAGGACGAAACGAAATCGAGGATCAAAGAATTCAACGAACAACTGTCAGAGGATCCCAACGACATCGACCTGTGGGTCCAATACATAAACTTCGAGGATCGAGATCAGGACTTCCAGATTTCTGCTCACAACACGAAGGCAGAGCTCATGAAATACCAAAGGAAACTAGCGATAACTGAAAAGGCATTGGAAAATAATCCGGACTCTCCCGTTCTGCTCAAATATAAACTGAATTTTTTGAACGAATTATCACCAGCTGACCAGTACTCCTCGCAGCTGGAGCTTCTCATCTCCAAGGATCCAGGAAATTTAATTCTTTGGCAAGCTCTAATAACAGCTACGAGATCCTCTATCGCTCTTTGCACCGTTCCAAAAGTCTTAGCATTGTACTCAAAATTTTTCGCTGGTCTTCATTTGTGGTCCAGGTCCAGTTCACAATTTTACGACAGTAATTTGCTCCAAATGCTGCATCACTGTTTGACATTTTTGAGGCAAGCTGGCCTCTGGGAACAAATGTGGGAGGCTCTCAGGATGCTCCTCACCCTGAATCTTGGAATAACAAAGGATTCCAAGAACTTCAAAGGATCGATCGATGAGAAGAAATTAATTGGGATGGAGGAGGTAATTCTCACCTCTCAATTACCTCTAAATCAATTATGGCTTCGAGTGGAGCTCCTCCGAGAAAATTGCCACTGGACAACTGTTCGCAGGGAAGAGCTCGAGCTAATTGGTGATTCCCACAGATTTATCTCCCCAGAAGATGTCAGTGAATTTGTTCATCCGTTATTATCAATACAATCTAATTTTAGACTCAGTATTTACGCACTGTTAGCACTGAAAGTGCCACTCCTTCCCACGAGACATTCAATCCTGGAGGAGCTGGGGATGGACCAGTGCAACTGGGGGATTGACTCTGCTGAGAGCCTTTTGCCAATATTGTTCCCCTGTGTGGGTGAAGTTGCTGGCCATCAAGAGAGGATCTGTCTTCTGAAGGGAGTTATCGAGGGAGGAATTACGAGTGGACCTCAGTACTTGAAATTTCATCCTGCACAAGAAGGTTTTGTAGATTTCATTCGAGATGCATTTAAAATTATCGCCGAAAAATTAATTCTCGAGGAGAAAAACCAGATCTATGTTTGGTGGTTGAGGTTTGAGAGGAGTTTGGTGGGAGTGCAAAAATGCCAGGAGATTAGAAATGAGAAAAGTATTAAAAAGTTGAAGGGGATACTCAAGGAGTTCTTGAAGAGGGAGGAAAATAGAAATAATCTGGATTTTTATAGGGAATATGCTATTATTGAGAGGGAGATGGGGAAATGGGAAAATTGTTTGAGCATTCTAGAAACTGCCGTTGAGAGCAAGGGAAATCTGATATTAGGAATTAAAAATGTCGAAGAGCAGAGATCTATCTTGAGTCTTTATAGAACACTTCTTGAGACGCTTCTCGATACGAGGACTTGGGATGTAAACAATAAGATAAGGATGATGAAAATTTTCGCACAAATGTCCCCGGGTTCGTCTCAAGCAGAACAAATAATCGCGACTGAACAGTACCTGAAGGATTTCTGCGAAGAATTTTTCAACGACCCAGATGTGTTTGATGAAGGTCTAGACAAATATTTTCAACCTAATTTCTATTGTGATGCTGTCATGTGTTATGTTTACTTTATGTACATCACGGGGAAAGACTTGGAAGGAATTCACACGCTCTTTGAGAGGTGTATTGAGAGGTCAAGGAAAAATCGATGGCTCGAGGTAAATATGTGATGGGGAACAATGAGGTTTGATTATTCAGCTTTTTCTTTTTTTCAGGAGATTTTTCGTGAGGGGGAATTAATATTCAAGCAGATGGTGTGCGAGATGCAAGGAAGGAGAATTGATGAGTTAAAGTCGAGCTTGGATATTGTTTTGAAAACATTTCCTGACAATTTTTATATGCTCTCCGTGTCTTCTGCAATTGAAGTACGGTGAAATCGGATTTGAAATAACTTTCTTCGCGCTATTTATGAATTCATGAAATAATGTGTAATATACAATACGTTGATTACAGAGTGAATTACCAAACTGGTGTGTCCGGACATCGACTTCAAATAAACGGCTGTGGACAGCTGTTTCCTTGTGCTTATCAGGTAGAGCACGTCTGAACTCAGAACTCTGTCAAAAAGATGACGTCGCTAAAAATGCAGCTCTCAACAAATTGCTCCACTTCCACAAAAGACTCTTCAAGTTCGTATTTCCGCAATTATGCTCTCAATTTAATTCCTGCAATTGAGTAATGAATCTCGTTAATCCAAATCCTCATATTTCTCAGGATCTCAGAAATTCGATGCTGTCCTTTGATATGGAGGCTGTACATGCTCTTACTACGAGAGCAAAATCTCTGTGAGAAGAAAGGGGAAGAGGTATATCACGAGAGTGTGGCATCATGCCCCTGGGCTAGATGTATTTACATTGATGCTGCGGAAATTGCACCCCAGCTTCTCACGCAAATTCAGGATGTTATCAAAGAGAAAGATTTACGAATGCATGTCACGCCTGAAGAACTCGATATTCTCAGAGGATAAATAATATTTTGCATACTGAAAATATTTACGAAGAATTCATTTTTTCTCCGAATAATAATATTTTTTTATAACAAATATCTGTAAGAAAAATATTAATTGTAGTAAATGTTTGTTATTAAATTTTTCGTAGCTTCAATTTTCAATTATTTCTGTCCGCCTTGACAGCTCTGACAGGTCGAGTGCATCACAACATAACCTAAGTTATCAGCTGATTGCAGGTGATGACCGCAGTAGTACTCAGTAGTTGGGGATGTACTGTAAGAAATATTTTGTCAACAAAAAAAATTATGATTAAATCTTCTTTTGCATTTTACCCTCTCAGAAAGATGCAATATAAACGCTGAGATATTTTCAAAATGGATAAAAAGGCTGTAGTAGTGGCAGGAGAAGCTCCAGAGTCTGATGAAGATACCCTGGACATAAAAACGGTAATAAATTATCCGAAAAGTCACTTTGCTGCAATTCCCACACCCTTTGTCTTGCCCCAAGTCAATAATTTCGTATGAAAAACATAAAGTGTCTAACAACTCTAGGGTTTGACCTTCAAGTGCTTGCCTGATGCATCTGGAACGATAATATCTGGAGAGGCGACAGAATCAGATGACGGTACGACCTTCAATACTCAAGACGAAATGTAATTAATTCATGCTTGATTTATTCATTATTAATTTTGGATCTCTACAGATGGGGGGAGTTTGAGTAGTGCAAGCATAGCAATTGATGCAACCACCTGTCCTTACATTAACGTAAAATCAATGAATGATAAGAAGTTCATAAAATACAACAGCTTACTCCACAAAAAATTGCGTAAGTCATACCGAATATTCATTGAATGTTATCTTCCTTTATTGATTACAATCATTACAAGATTAAGTTAATGACAGTAATAATGAACTGGAATATACGAGTAAAACCGATGTCCTCAAGACACTTACTATGTTTACTTCTTCGGCATTCAATATTAAACTAGTCCTATTCGTAATTTATTTAGTTCATTACTCACTATTTTATTCTGCGGTAAATCTCAGGAGGAAATATTTTGTCCTTAAAATTCCTAAAAATCAATGTAAAAATTAGAAAATGAATTTATCACAATTACTAATTTTGTCTGACCAGACGACTGCAATGAGTCACTTCGGGGAAATATACTCCGTCTGACTGATAACACTATTACTACTGGTATTCAAGAGCTTACTGGAATCAATAAGCAGTTGTTGAAAAGTGAATTGACAGTTCAGGAAGCTGCATGTCAACTGAGAAATGCATCTGCCAGGTGGAATGAAGCCTCCAGTATTCTTTTTCAGATAATAGATGGAAACTTCTTGAATACCATTAAAACGTAGACCATACTGACAAACAAAATTCATTAAATGTTTTTGTTATCAAAAAATCCACTTTATCTTGGATATTTAGATGTACGATTGCGTTATTTGAGTATTGTGTAATGCCAAAAAAAATGAATAAAGATTGTTCAAACATCTAATTTAACACTCAATAGTTTTTATTTTACCTAATTATTTATTAGAATTGTACGACTTTAAAACGGCTGTTAGCCAGTAGATGTTGGACTCAGTCAAAATGGCCTTGAATAAGAGAAAACATTTGTCGATTATCTCTGGAGTTGTTGAGCATTATTTTCGTCTTTCTTTCAAAATTTCTTTTCTTGTTGTTTAACATTTGATGGCAGTAGACTATTCGATTGTTATTGACTAACAGCACGTACTGTAAGTACAAACTTAGCTGCCGTTCTCTTGTGGTAATGGATTATGCAAAACCTTTAAAAGCTTCCCTTAGTATTATTTGTAAACTTGTGGGCGAAATTAATTTCTGCCGGTTCGGTTTTTTAAATTATTAGCATTGTCTCTATACCAATATTTTTCTACTGGTCGTTGCATCGCTTCTGTCAGTATTTTCCATATTACACTACGTTTAGTCCTATGTTTGTATATTTATTTATTTTAGTTTACTGTTTTTTGGATCATTGATTTCACTTAGAATCATATTTTAGTAGCTCTGCAATTAACATTGAGTGAAATAAGGCGACGAGTTAATTTTTTCCAAGACAACATTATTTGGAATATCCAGGAAAATAAAAAGGAGTTGGACATATGTCAATGAAAAATTGAGAGGGTCTCGATTGAACTACCGATGACCCATTTCACTTCGATAATTCTTCACATCAATAATGGCCCTGCAATTGTAAAAATTTTTTCGCAGCACCAGAATTATTGGAGCAAAATGAGCAATCAAGCAAAATAGAGAGTAGTTATCATCAGTGTTTTCATCTGAAAATTGCCAGATTCCAATGAATTTTTCCGCTTCTCACGTACCTTCACTTTATCTCTTCATTTCTATAGAATAACAGCATTACCATTACATTATTAATTCAAAGTTATGAGTAGTAACGAAAATCACATCGAGAAATAATTGCTTGAGGGGCAGAATTATTGACTCATATTATTTACTTTGTACAATATTTTTTTCCTTTGAATTTGTAAAATTAGAACCTTATCACTGGACTTGAGTCCTCTAAAAAATCGTATTGATGCGGAATTACAGGTGATGAGGATGGGGGCAGGACGCGAGCATACAGTCTTTATTAGAAGCCCCTAGAACTATTAATTTCCTTATTCTTACTCAATTAATTTGATTTCAATTTACCTACTCTATCGGATTGTTATCTTCATTATAATTAATCTTATCTAACAAATGCACAACTTCGCTTAGTATCAAAGGATTGATATCTGGTGTCACTTGGTATGGTATTAGTATCCTATTTATTTTTTGTCGCATTTTCTTGTGTACTCGTGAATGGGTGATCTAGATGGATTTGATGCTGATACATTTTCTCTATAAATTCAGTCTTTAAATCATTCGCTTGCACGTCGGTTTAACACAAAAAAATATTCAATTTTTTCGATTGTTAATCTACATACGAAGCTGTCTCAATTTATCTTTTACTCGATTTTTCCTCGTGCTTCATTAGGGGATTATTCACCTTTACCTATTTTTTTTTACCTGTTTTCTCATTAAACCGAATACAGCTACACAATCTGTCACCAATTGGTGTTATCCAAGCGATTTATTACGTTACCCTATTCTCCGAAGTACATATACAATCCTTGTTTCTCTTCTCAGCGATTAGATCGAAATAATTATACGATTAATACAACATTAATCGATTATTTAAATGCTACATTTGTTTTTCTTACTGAGCATCAATTATACAATTCCGTGGGGTGCGTTACTGTGACTCGGGCGGTCATAGCGATTTTTTTAATAATCGAGAAGAAAATATTTTTTTCTAAAAATGACTGAAAACTCACTATCTACTGATTTATAACATCCAGAGAAAAATTTCACGTGAATCAATTCAATTGATCTAATCAATTGTAAATTAATGCAATGGGATGATTTAATGACTATGTGAGCATCAATTCATTTTCATTTCAAAAAGAATTTCAATAAGTTATAAGGAACACATATGAAATTTTTCTCTGAACGATTTCCTTAGAATATAGACTGTTTCATCGAACATCTAACAGAGTCGCATTTACACTCGACTCGATGATTAGTTAATAGATATAACTCGGTGAATTAAATGGTACAAATATTTACTCACAATGTACAATACCATTTATCCTGAAATATCCTGAATTCCTTCGCAAACATCAATAACAATATTCCCACTCTCAGTCCCTGGCGACGAGACGAAATCCTTGGAATCAATTCTCTGCTAAACCTCGAGAATAAATCCAGTTGATTGGAGAAACAAAAATGCAGTTGGATCGAGTGGTAACTGAAAAATTAAGGGCTCAATTCCAGAAGAGAATGAGGGTTTGCTGCAATTGTCGTCCCCTGTAAAAAATACGACGTCGGACGCGATACATATTTGCCAATGTGAGGGCGCCCACCCCCCACATGGCCTACGCTCGCTCCATTTCACCCCCAGTCGCATACATCTGAAGAAGTGCCATTGACTCCTGGGCCTGTCGTTTCTCCGCCAAAAATCTCCCGGACGCCTCCTTCAACTGCTCCAAGAACAGTCTATCCGGTACAATATCAGCTAGACTGTCTGGATTCATATCACTTAGCAACTCGAGATCATTACCACCGAGGAGAGAAATGTGTGATGGATCACCGTGTAATGTCGACACCAGGGGCTCAACTGGACTTCGATAACGTCGCACTGTCTCATCGATCGTTCTACCAACGCTGTCAACATTGTCAACAACTATGTAACGCGATGCAGTCTTACCGCTGCCTGGAGCTGCCCACTTTTCATCCCCCTGGAGTACCATCAGGCTCGTATTTCTCTCGAGTGTCGCAAAATACTCCTCGTCATCCACCTCAGTCCCTACAAAATATTACCACTCTTTAAGTCATTACCTACATTTTTCTCCCTACCTGCATTATCACAACCACTTGAACATTTCTACTCTCCAATTCAACAGCCAAATTTTAAAATGTCTTTATAAATATTTAATTACTCCCCTAACGACTCATTCCAGAATAAAACGACAAGCGACTATTTATTTTACAATTGTGTAATTTCACATGTGTCAGAGAATATCCAATTATATTGTTTGTAAATTTCATTGTCACGTGACTATTTAATTAACTCCTTTGCCTGGTTCCAATTTCAATTTGAAACTAATTCTATTCAAATTCGCAGCATGCACAACGAATTTCATTTGTCGAATGAACATTGTGATTGCACAACTCAGAGTCATCAGATGAAAAATTTACCATCTTGCTCCAACACGATAGTGAGATCGGCATCGGAGGGCAGTGCCAATCTACTTCTGGCCACATTAGTGAGATCCTCGAGTGAAGAGGCTGTAATTCCTTTTCGCTTCTCTCTGGTGCAGTCAACAATTTTGTAGGGATTTCCCGTGGATGAAATCACTGCTGTGCACTCCGACATATTTATTCTGATAAAAAAGTCAATTCAAACTTGTGAAATTTCAGGTCAAGAGCGGATTGACTTTTATACTGGCCGGCGAATTCCCCGGGATTAATTCAAAGCTCTAGATAATCTCCATCATATTTTTTCATACCAACAACCATCCGAATTAAACTCCCAAAAATACACCAAACGCACGAGGACAGGGCGTAGGGACAGCCCCTCTCAGTGTTCCCCAGAGTTCGTTGACACAATGTCGTCCACCCACTTATCGAATCCTCCACAATCACCGGATAACTACTTCTCCATTCCGTGAATAAACTTGATCAATCAAATTATGAAAAGGTCTTGAAAGAGTGCGTACATGGGCAGTGTCAAACGATTGTACTTTCAATTCAATTAACAACTAACTCCACAAAATTGCACGCCCCCACCGAAACTTTCAAGATAAACTTCAAATAAACCCCTCCCATCGATAATCACCTATCTTTCCCCCCCGCAATTTGTTGACAAACCAATGAAATAAAACATCATTGAATAAACTCGGTGTGAGAGTGCAGTGCTCGGAGTGACGATTGCCAACCACCCACCCAGTGATGCGATAGTCTAACTAGCACTGGGTCAATGGTGCAACCACCCTTCCTATTTATACCCACAGCAGACTCGACAACGCGCATATATAGACCCACAGCCACCACCTGCCCCCACTACTACTACAATCCTCTACCCCCTCCATTCCCACACACCAACCCCACCCTCAACAAAATCAATAACCTACCCCACACCAATCCACTCCCTCTCCACCCCTCGCTCACTTCTTTATCTCTCGTGTTTATTTTTATTTTTTTTTATCACTTTTGAGTCCATCATTGGACCACTTTTATCCACCCCGTTCAATAGCAACCCCAATTAATCCCTCTTTATTTTATATTTAGGGAGACTGATGAGAATATGTCGTTGAAAAATGAGGGACAGGGGTGGTTGATGCACAAGGGTGCTTTTTAATAATCGCTCTCGTTATTGTCCGTTTGCTAATTGACTCCACGAGTCACTTCTCTAATGATCCCATTTTGTTATTTGCTAGCACCTTGTCAGCCACCCTCAGATTGCACTATTGATTGAGGGTTCAATTGATATGGCCATTGCTCTGTGGTTAGCGCGGTTGGCTTGATAATTGGATGATATTAATGCGTTTGTATGCCTTTCGCATCGCAAAATTTCATCCTCTATTTTTCAGCAATTATAGGAATTCGTAAGCTTCATTTGCCATGAGTTTGTTAATTGTGGTTGATAATTGATTGGAATAATTAATTGACGATCTGTGAAGGGAGCGATTTTTTTTTGTCCAGCCCTCCATCACTGGGATTCGAGGATGATCTTACGATCTAATTATCGATTATTGTCTTTATACCCTTGCATCGTCGAGGATCGTAAATTAATTAGCCTCCGAACAGGGACCCATGAATCTTTATTATACCGTTTCCGAAGTTTAAAATTAGATGAAGGGTGAGCAGGAAAATGCACTTGTGGCAAAGTTTTGTCTATTTTTCAATGTGTCGGTTATATTGGAAAGATTTCCCTATCAGAATGAATGGGAAAAAGTAGGTAATATGGACCAGAATGTGAGTTGTGATAAGAGAAATATCAGAACTTTGTTGCGCATGGAAAAAATATTTGGAGGGTGGATTTATTTTTTCACAACGATTAGAAAATTCGAAAGTAAACCAGGGGATACCAAAATTTAAAGACTCATCCCTGAATTTATATTTAGTTACACGGCATTCAATATGAGAGACTATTTCCAGTTTAAAGTTAGCTCAGTCCTAGCTAAGACGTGATTATAGTTTGATCTTCTTGTAAATTAGCGAATGTCTCAATCTAAAAATCTAGTTGCCGAGGGTATAAATATTATTATTTATCAGAGAATACGAGACGAGGGGAGTTATTGCTCCAGTGATTTGAAGAATGCCGTCAAAAACGAATGAAGGGCCCGACGACAGTCAGACTTGGGAATTATTGGAGAGGTGTATATTGCCAATAGCATTTTCACACGCTGCGGCTGTTATTCTCGCGACAATTTTCAATACTCTCGGTATATCGCAGACATCGAGTTTTCTACTATTTCTTCTCTTCTTGTCCATCTCCATTGGCTTGACGTTATTCTATCATAATCTCAAGGTAGGCATATTCATAATTCACAATTTTCCAGGGAGCAGGAATTCCCTCAGTGCTACCAGTCCTCCTGTGTGAACCTTTAGTTACAGCTGGATAAATTTAGAGCGACCATTAAATTATTCACGTATTCACGTGACATAGACCAGCTTCGAATGACATTCTATGTCACGCTATTTTTGACAATTTTTGCAAAGGGATCATCTCCTTGAGAACAGTATGGATTTTTCGAAATTTTAATCCTTCACATTTTCCTTCTGATCGATGCGCAGGGAACATCAATTTTTTTTATCAATAAAATCGAAGCCCATGAAAATTGCCACCATCAGTCAATTAAATTTCAATGACCTTTGAAAAAGTATTTTCCAGTTTTTTTTATCATTTTAATTTATTCCGTGTCAGCCCCTCGGTTATTATTAGGTAAACGTACCCTGTCAAAAGCAGCTTTGTCCGGGATGAATATGGATGAAACGAAATTTTCAATTTGTTCAATTGGCCAATCGTTTGACAGGTGAATATTCTTGTCGGATTAATTACGTTCTGCGGATGTGACCTAGCCAAATGAAAAAAAGGCTATTGCAAATACCGGCGTATGAAAAATTCTATTCTAAATGTCAAATAACGAATCATTCCATCCCTAAAAAATCGCCAAAAAAATTATTTCCTCACAGTCAATGCGAGTGAGTTAAAATAAATTTGTCAATTTATTTCATTCCGAGAGATAGGAGAGAATTGCGCGGAAAATAGTAGTTGCGAAACTGGTCAATTAATTTTCCTGTTGGTTTCATTAAAATCGCCACGTGGCTGGAGTTCAAGGTCGAGAAAGGATTATTCCAAGCCACTGATGAATGGGAAGTTCTCAATTTATCGCTTGTCCTGTCTGTGCAATACCGGGGAACATGCAGAATTTCATAAAATCCAATGTGTAACCCGTAGTTTTTATTGGGTTTAGTATCGACGTTTATCACCCCCTGACCTTCTTCGAACTTGAACTCACTCGTGACGAGGGTTTGACGTCACATTACCTATGGGAAACTTCAATTTTCTCTTTAACACACATTGCGGTTTTCGACTTGATATTAATTTAAATGGATCCCAGGTTACCGCTGCTGGCAAAGCCATCCTCATCACTGGATGTGATTCTAGAGTTGGATATGCCCTCGCCAAGCGTCTGGATGAACTGGTAATATTCAGCTCTAATTACTAACATGAAATTTCCGTCGGCCCATTTCCCACTGGCAATACCGGAAATTATATTACCGAATAACGAATATCTCCACTGTTCATCTAAAAATACACAAATTCTTCGATCAATAACGCGGAATTAATTAATTCATCAAAGAAATTATTCGCGGGTCCACAGTATTTTTTTTTTTTTGCATTGATACTGGAGTTGGAGTAATTCATGGAGGATAGGGACATGAGTTTAAAAAATACTGAGTTAAAGTGGATGGAATCTATGGTCCTGACTTAATTTTTACGGTGACAAATATTAAGGGAAATTGCGGAACTCACAATTCACTCGCCGATTGCGGAAGCGACCCAGAAAATATAAGCGGTGGTATCGTAATTTTTCCCGGGAAATTCAGATAAAAATAACGGAACGGTCTGAGCAATTTCCGTGATAAATATTCGGAAACGCTTCTTCAATTACATTTTAACCCAGACGTCCATATTGTCAGAGCTTCCCCTATCCTTCATTAAAATGTCACTTGAGAATATTTCTAGGGTTTCACGGTATTCGCTGGCTTTCAAAATACCTCAGAGAATGAAGAGAAAGTTCAAAGTCTGAAAGAGGCAGGTTCTGGAAGGCTTCACGTTCTTCAACTAGACATAACGAGCGAGCTGGACATCCACTCAACATTTTTATACGTCAATGAAAACTTGCCGGATGGTGCGCCAGGTAATCCACTGAATAATTGATTCCCACACCACCCACTAAACGTGAATTATTTTTCACATGAATAAAGTAAAAATCTTTCGAATAAAATTCAGGTTTATGGGGACTCGTGCATGCCAACGCGTGGGTTGCACTTGGTGAATGCGAATGGGTGCCCCTCTCCGTCGTCAAAAGAAGTGGAGATATTAATTTTACTGGCGTTGCACGTTTAACTCAAGTGAGTTAAATATTTTTTAAATTCCAGTAACAATACGACGGATATCGGTTTATCGGTATTTCACCGATTCATAAAAAATTCATTCACGAAGAGATTGATCTATTCCAGGTATTCCTACCCCTGGTGAGACGCTGCAAAGGTCGCATTATTCTTGTATCGAGCATTCTAGCTAGAATACCGAGTGCTGTTCGTGGAATTCAATGCGCAAATGGGGTAAATTTTTAATTAACCATTCAGATTAATTCGAGCATAAAATTCATTATTGTAGCTGTAGTTGTATATCAGAACGAGATTGACGGTTTCGTCTAACCAAATGGGATAATCGGTGGGAGGACAATCGAACAGTTAATGATCAATGTTTCATCGGGCTACCAGAGAAGTAACGATTAAATGCTATATTCGTTCTCCAATAAACCAGGCCGAATTAAACAACCCATCGCCATGTCCAGTGCATAACTATTTTGAGTGAATTAACGCGGGTCATTATTACACTCGTCAAAATATGAAATGAGAGTAATTAGCGTGAATTTAATAGGGCAGTTAATCCAGCCAATGTCATTTGCATTATTTGTCAGTGATCAATGAATATCTCAGAATTTTCTTTGCAGGAAAAATTTTTTTTATCTGCATACACAGGGAATAAATAAATGACGTTTGCTGATTGCTAGTCTGGATTCTACTCTGTGGTGAGGTCAAGGCCAGGGCTTGTCGAATAACCCACATGATTAAAAGTTTTAGTGAAATTGTTTTGAAAAAAAAAATTGCAGCAATGCGGTATTATTTAACTCAAGACCTTGGCAAGTTTATTGCTGAATGTTTTAGCGTACTTTTTTCATGGAAAGTGCATCATCATAATTTCAGGCTGCTCTGGAGGCGTGGGGCTCGTGTCTTCGCCTGGAAATGCGACGCTGGGGAGTTGACGTTGTAATAATTGAAACGGGGGACTACGTATCGGGCAACACGTGGTTAAAGGACAATATCACGATCCTCAACCAAGCGAGGGATATGTGGGTGCAATTGGATCCTCAAACGCGTAAAGAGTACGGCGAAGAATTATTTCAAAAGGAATTACTGGCATTAGAGAAATATACAAAGGGTCCAGAAGCTGATTTGACGTGTGTTCTCAGAGCTCTGACTGATGGTATTGTCAAGACATTTCCAATGAAACGATACACTCCAGTAACTCGCAAGGAAAGACTTCAAGCTCTCGTCAGTGATCATTTTCCAAAGTCTATTTATGATATACTTTACACCGAGTAAATTGTCGATTCGTAATTAGCCAGTACTTTCTCACAAAAGTATTGAAATCTCTTTCTGCCAGTGCGAAGCCTGCCTTAAATATATCAAATTCACCTTATTCATTTATTCATTCAACCCACCCTAATCTAGTCGTTCATTTTTGTCGGATGAAGGATTTAATAAAAAAGAGAAAATCTCATGTTTGGTCTCATTGAATTGATTTTTTCTATTCATCCCTATGAAACACATCCCTTGACTTGAAAAAAATTCACTTGAACTCCAAAAAACGCGAATCAATACTTTTATGCCATTGAACCATCAAAAAATTCACACGCCCCTAAAACAACCATTAAATAACCGAATAAATATAAACAAGACAGCAAATACCTGAATTCCCTTCAGTCCTGGAACGATCTGTCATGCTGACAGGATACGATCAAATGGAGCTGCTCCAGCCCAAGATCCACATCCTCATCAAGTTATCCGAGACAATGGTTGACAATTGAATTCAATTCCTGTGATTCGCTCTATTCCCAGTACAGATAATCCGATATGGGGTCATTCCTCTAAAAATTTCAGTTTTTGGCGCCATCTGTTAAGTGTTCAACCCCGACCGATCATATGATTGTTAAAAAATTCTCTCATCCGATAAAGCAGGGACAACAGGGACTTGTTGTTGTTGTTGTTCTGACCAAAGAAGATTGACTAATGTAGAGTGAGTGACCCCAGCGGCATCGTAGTACTGCACCCCAAGAGAGGGAGGGCGCAACACGCAATGTTGGGGTGTTTTTTTTTTATTAACCAAGTTTTTTTGCAATGCTGGGGTGTCCATCAAGTCGACGGGGTGAATTTTACTTTCTGCTGTACGAATACTTTTTATTTTTCATTTGTTTAACTGAAATTTAGCCGACTGAAGAACGTGC